CGGCTACATTGACAATGTTAAAAAAACCGTAATTTTCCATCCATAGGGTGTAATATCATAATCTACAGCCCGCGTGTTACTGTGTTCGAACACACTGCAAAGACGATATACTAAAGGCAATTTAAAATTGCGACTAGGTGGTACGACGTAAAAGGAAGTTGGGAAGATGAGTCGGGCACACCAATTACATCGCTCAAGTGTGAACACGTTCGCCTGTTCAGCTGTGAAAATTCAGATGCGTCCAACGTGCGTTGGTGCAGTAGTGGTTACACGCTCGCCTCGCATGTCAAGTGTCCGGGTTCCAAATCCCGGCACAGCCATTGGAGATGCACTGCTGATGAGCTCTAATAAGAGCGAAACTCGAGTCCAGTGCTTCCCTTTGGTGTGGACTCACCGGAATAATTACGCCAGAACAGGAACACGACCGTTCGAACGAGAGCGGTGTGACTATGAACAAAGTTGGGAAGATTAGCGAATATACACTCATTTGCAAACTAATTTGGTTCTTTCGACAGACTCACCTGGAACCCAGCTGAATATCTCGTTTATGATGTTGGGAAGAACTGGCCGACTGAAGTGTGTGAAGGGCATGCCCAAGCCTAGAGTTGCACTTCGTTCCCTTCCAGGTCGCCTGCTCGACACAGACGTTTTAACCACTTTTAGGCCAACCTACGAGGTGGTCGTCAGGATGTCGATGTTCTTTAAAAAAAAGTTCCTTGCTATCGCGGAAGCAGTTAGCATCCGTGATTTTAAAGCTTGCGAGCAAAAAGGTCTTGTATAGCCGTTTAGTCTAATGTCAGCCTCATGTGACAGGCCAAAATCACACCGGGTTTGTAAATCTTGACCATCGATTATCGATTTTAACCGGATTGATTTTTACCCACAGGTTCGACCGATTCTGTTCGTTTTATGTATCCCCGAGCAGATGAAAGGTCGCATTCGCTTGAATTATCTTGATCCTAATGCCATTTCGGGGATATTTTATACCTTTGGTGAAGAGGTTCACTACAGCAGATGCTATTTCAAAACCTACGCGTCACGTACATGCCGAATTTGAGTGTCACTCGCGTTAATAACATCTTATACTCTGTTACCCACTGCTCAAGAGCGGAGACCCTGACAACCTGTCAAGTCCCAGAGTGCTTGGTTGTAGATCACCTGGCTGTTTGCCTGTCTACGAACTATGCCTGCAGACATCTGGTCGTACGAACCGGACCAGTGCGCGGCGATGCCCTCACAACTGGTGCAAGCAAACTGTCAAGCTCGTCCAACAGATCAACCTAATCTACAATACAACCTATTAAAGCACCCGAGGTACCAGTATTCCCATGACTGGTTGTCGAACAGTTTTCGAACACTTTATCACTGGGATCGTTTCGGCGAAAAGATAAAGGAAAGATAAAGATATGAGTATTACTGGAAAACCGCCCAAAGCATTTCAAACTCTGGATCCTCCAAGAACAGTTTTCAATCAGTGTTGGGATGTTGTTTTCAATAGATATGAGTGTTCGTCAGTTCATTTCGACAATTCATACTGGTGATGTGAAGAAACCGAGCACAGATATGGTAGTTTATCACAAAAGGATACGAGTATTACTGGAAAACCGCCCAAAGCATTTCAAACTCTGAATCCTCCAAGAACATTTTTCAATCAGTGTTGGGATGTTATTCAGTAGATATGAGTGCTCGTCAGTTCATTTTGACCATTCATGCTGGTGATGTGAAGAACCCGAGGACCGATATGGTAGTTTATCACAAAAGGATACGATCTTTGAAGGAATTATTGGAAAAGGCTTTTCAGAGCAACTAGCAGTAAAAGCGAGCTGAGTAAATTTGAGGCATATCGCCGGAGAGGAGGAAAAGTTTGTACATTTAATGCGGACTCACTTTTTTTATTTTGGGAGCTTGTTGATTGATGCTACGTACCTGAACCCAAGATGTAATTATCTCTTTCGTCCGAAAATTGACAACTAAATGGGTTAGGGAACTGGTGTCAGACGTGCAACCCCGTCTTGTTGACGACTGATTCATGGATAGGCAAATAGAGTCGAACAATGAGATAGAGAATAGAAGGTGCTGAGCCCATAACGACGCAAACTGAACCCAACCTGATCGCACCTTCGATCCGACGCTGGCGGCCCGACCGTATAGTGTTCGATTATTAGACCGGTCGGAGGACGCAGATTGGAATTCCTTCTGAGATTCTTTTGATCGGTGTCGCTGATTTTTCCCAAAAAATATGACACAGCTGTACATCCCCCCAAGAGACTATAAAATCGCAATGTCCACAAATACACTGAAGGCCTCTGGTTTAGGTCAGCAGATGAACAGCCAGTGTAAAAGATGGATCGATGTGGGAGATGGACGTACAAACTCCTCAAGCACACTGAACTCACATTTTCGGTGGAGCTTCAGTTGACAGCGCCGCTCGAAGTGTCAACAGCAGCGTAAACAGTAGGAATGGAAAGTACATTTTTTCGTCCTGAAAAGTGAGGGGCGTTTCCGTAACCAACATGCTTTAAACATGTCCAATAAATAGTAAATTGGAAAAACGCATGAGAAAGTGAGGTTTGCAGCGGACTTAATGTCGGCCTCAACAACAACTATGGTGCAGACTCGGATTGACTCCAAGCACTGAGTAGTGTTCAACAATTTTGGCCAGTCCAACCTAACTCAAATCTTTAATTCTAATCTTTTAATGATTCTCATAGGAACTCATCTACACACCACTATTACAGTCATGTTTGACAGTAATCAGTTCTTTCGACAAACCCTGTCAATTAGACACGCTAGTGTGTATCCATCATTTCTTTGTCATGGTAATATTGATCCGTCCCAGATGGAGTACTTTAGCCCGTTCTTGATTGCCCCGTTTCTGTTCATTAGGCCTATCTGCTCATTTGCTCACATTGGCTCTTCGAACATGGCAAGAATTGGATCTCCCACTTGACCTCCAACAACCAAACTAATTTATGCGTGTGAAATATTTCACATCATATAAAACAATGACCTGAAACGACAGAATTTCTATTGAAATTCTAAATCTCCGAAGGGTCACCTACCTCTTTGATAGACAGCCGACAAACTTCACCCGAGAATCAAACAGATTACGAACTATATCAATCGAAAACGGGAGATGTGCAAACTTGAGCCATTAAGAAGTGATCAAAAGCTGCAGCCTTGAAGAACAACCTGCATATGGCAGGTGTGTGGACAAGACGAAACGGTCGTAATACACTACTCGCAAGGTTGATGAAATCCCTATGACAGGACGCGAAAAGCTGGCAGTTAAGTAGATTAATTCGGGCACTTCATGCATGGGAAACCCCAGTTTCATGAGTTTTGTGTCAAACAGATCTTTTTATAGCACCTTTTTTGTTATGTAGAACTCACTTTTCGTTTTCCACTGGTATGCACAGGTGTAGGTGATAATATCGAACCCGTTGATACATCATCATCATCATCATTTTCAGCTGTAATAACCGCGTGCTTGTCGTACAGTGATTTTAGCTGCCGCAGTTTCGTTCATGATGTTTTGGGGGGGATAGGTACAGTGGGCCTTGTAGTACATTTTAGCTGCCGCAGTTTCGTTCATGATGTTTTGGGGGGGATAGGTACAGTGGGCTATCAAGTGGGGGGTTGGGAAAGGAAGGAGCATTGAAGGCAATAGTTTGGATGCACGAGCGCCATTGAGGGCGCGACTGGGCCATATTTGACAATGTCTCTAGCCATTGATGTGGCCCGTCTCGGGGTCCCCATCTAGGAAGACGGCAATGACCAGCGCAGCTGAGTTTGCTGGTAATTGCATTCATACTTCGCTGCCAAGTCATTGGTTGACCGCCTCTGGCTCTCTTCCACTCTTCACTTGGTGTCAGACATACGAGTTGTCACAAAACCATTCTGCCCAGTAAACGGTAGACTGTCTGCATAGTGCGTGTGTTCTCCAAAAATGCTGGTTCATTCAATGGCCAGTAAAATCCTGCCGTGCAGCTCAGAAAACAGAAACCCTAGACTGGATTAATACGGCAATAAAAAGAAACTAGGAGGCAATACTTCGCCCTGTAGGATCAAAATCGGCGTCAAGAAGACAAGTAAACGCAGGGGAAAGATGTAAGGGCACCAATGCTGTGTGGGGTGTCACTTCAAAACAGAATCACCTTTAGTAGCAAAAAACTGCCATCAGCGCACCACCGGGAATAATAAACTACTTACTTTGTCCTGTTCCAGACACAACAGACTTGCAAGGCTGGCATCGAAATAGGATAAACGCGTACATCCGTTTTTAAGCTCCTCGGAACCATGCGAGTGACTATTTCCTCACGTGATCACGCTGGTGGAGGACACTTTCCCCGGCCATCAATGTGCACAATGTTACTAGCCAACACAGTTGACATAAAGGCTCACTTACTTCGAACCGAATGAGCTCCAAGTACTGTGATGTCATGAATACAGATCTTGTCACAATATAATGCAACTTCCTTGTGCATGTTGAGGTCCGTGTCTAATTCACCAAAGGAATTTCAACTTGCTGGCCAATAGCTAGAGATTCGAGGCCTAGCAGAGTAATAACAATGAGTGTATTGCGTTATTTTGTCCTTGATAGGGAACTGACTGCAGGTAGCATGGACAGCGGCTGTAATATCATATGGGTTGTTGTGGATCATTGCTTCAGATCGCCAATATTTGAACCACGACTGACTGTGTATTTACACGGATAGAGTCGAGTGGAGGCGAGGTCACAAGTGACATCAACCTTCTATGCACGGGATTCACTTAAATACACGGTTGGAACAACTCCGAGGATGAAACAAAGGACTACGTAACAGGCAACTGTTGATTCGTAACAACCGTCAGTCAGCTGATACGCATTTGTGGCGTATAGGCAGGTAAATGAATCGGATGGTTCCACGTCGAATAACATATAACACGAATGAATATAAAGAATTGAGACAATAAAAACGGATATGCGAATGTCGGGTGGGAATAAAAAACACTCACTCGTGTCGCCAAGCGTCCAAACCCCCGTCGACCACGTTCAAGTAGGTCTGACAAATTCGAGCGTACGTGACTTGGAACTCGACTGATACAATCCTCGAAATCATCTTGATGAATCATTCCCAAATCGGAATTCAATTCGGCCAGTCGAGATTCAATGAACTAGAATGGTGGAATGGAAGGTACGGAAAAGATAAGGAAAAACCAACCTAAAAGCAAGCAACACCAGCTGAATTCTCTTACTCATCACTTCCACAAAGACGGTTTGTTGTCGACTGGGACACTGAAGGCATTACTATTTTGGTAACCAGATAGCTGAGTGTGTCGCTAGGTGCATTCCTGTGATAAAACTGACAGGGTCCTCACAATAAACTCGCTTGTGGTCAGTTATAGTCGAACGGAACGCAACATTTACGTGTTAGCCGCATAGTGGCATTACGGGGATGAATGAACCGCCATCCTCCACCTCAACATCATCATCAGATGTCAAATGTGGAAAGTCTGTGTTGGCTGTGCTAATAGGTTTGTGCACTTAGACAGATGAAGCGATTGAAAAGTTTACTCAAGTCAGAATTGGTAAACATTGTAATACTATACCCCAGGAGGGAAACCTCATGAATACAAGCCGCTCCTCGGGAAATTCAACAGTGAGCAATGCCCGTCAGAGGTCAGTGGCTAGAGCAGGAATTTACTGACCAGAAGATCCGTGGTTCGGATCTGACCTGTGCATCCCTGTCTATGCCTGGGCAACCTGGCAGTACCCCCACCCCCGTGCTTCCTTCGGGTGGCATGGCAGCTAGGTACCGAAAGGGTGCCACAGGTGAACGATTTAATCTGAATTTTGATACCCCGTCAAATTCCTGTGGAAATTCGTGTCAATGAAAAGACCGCTCACTACCTGTTTACAGTTCGCTACTATGTGAATCGTGAAGTGACTTCGTCCTTCACTCTGATTAAATACCATGACCACCAAAAAACGCAGAAAGAGGCCACGAGGGCGTATAACACTTGTGAACGACATGAAAAATAGTTCAAAAGTTGAGGTTAAGGCTTCTAAACTGTTTGGCACTTGTGTAACCGAATTGACTTCGAAAAACTAAAACTGCGGACGGGAATGTTACGATGCAGTAAATATTGGGCTTTATCTTACACTGCAACAAACATCGAGCTTAACTTTCTTTGCCAACGTTTTGGTGCCTTTCGTCATGTAACGGTTGGTCAACGTGGCATATCCGTGTGCCAAACACTGGAAGAGACAGATTGCAAGTGCGTCGATGCAGAGTTTTGATACACCGTAGTGTGCCATTATATGGTTGATAGGTGATGATGAAAGCTAGCTGTGTGAGATATCAGTCATGCAAATTTAACCTTGGAAATATGAGTATCAGTAACTCACATGACTTCAATGAATTCCCAATAAACAAACAAGTTCTCCTATTTACCTGATGAAACATTTGTGATTGAAGTAATTCACGTAGGTAAGCCTGACATTCACGACCGCGGGTTGCCATAAAAGCATTCGGATCGAAAGTCCAACTTGACGGTATTAATACGTGGGTAAATGTGCCACTCTTGGCCCCCCTGGTCATTGCCTCACGATAGCCGCCTGAAAAGATGAATATTTAGCATACAAACGGAGCACCGGATAAGACGGATTCATACCTGAGTATAATGTGAAGAATTTGTGCATTAAAAGCTCATGGTATGTGTGAGAGACGTACATAACCAAGAAGTTCGTGTCGATGGCTGGTTTCAGACTATCCCAGAAACAGCCTCAAGGACGATGGAGGATAAACGTTAGAAAATATACTGGTTGACCAAAACGCGGACACTTCTCCAAGAAGATTGCACGTTTCTAACCAAAAGTGATCTGTTTGGTAAAGCGTCCCCTCCCGATGGATTCTATTGTATAACGGCTGTCGCGGTGTACGAAGTGAGCCTAAAAGACTTTGTTGTCTATCATAAACCTTATATAATTCAGAAGACGACTCAGACGGTCACAGAGGTCATCAGAGAGCTAGTATTCTATGAAATTATATATCCGGTCCGATGTTCTTGAAGCATGTATAGTGCAAATACGCATACTGGTGGGAATGCTACAACTAAGAGCTTCCAGCAAAATAGGCTTCGACAAGATACCGGATGAGACTCATCCTTGGGAAATTCCCAACAGTCGGTCTTTGTGTGACATCCAACTTCAGGTTTCAGGGAACAAGAGTTTCAAGAGTACATTAACCCTAGACGAACTCATGTCCATGTCTGACACGTTTAAACTTAGACTGTATTGCGGCCAGGTCTCATTGAAACTACCAATGGAATGCAACGCTCATAGGATAATGAAAAGAAAAATTCTGAACATAATCGAATGTCGAACACACACAATGGACAACGTGATCCAGTCTTTTTTCTCGTGGGCAAGCCATGTCGACCATGTAGGAAAAAGGAAGAATCTATCGAACAACCTTTTCTAACATAACTGGCGCTACACTATGAAGCTTTTGGGTAAAACATACGGGAATAGTCCGCTGAATTACACGAGTTTATATGACTTTACTCCAATCAGCCACACCACCCTACGGTGTTTGGCCCTACATGCATCACGGCCTGTTTTACGGATACTGTATGTTCAACCTACGCTCAAGGGACGCGAATATCAGACAATCCATCAACTGTGTTTTACAGCAAACGCGGTAAAATCAGCCCAATCCTTGAATGCCAGCGCGAAGGTTTTACACATTTGTTATTGGCCAAGTCCGTCACGTGTTTATCAATTTGCTGCTCGAATGAACGGAGCAATTGATTGTCTTCATTCTTTACCATAAAGTTAGGATCATCCTAAGCTGCAAACTCGAAAAAAAAACTATGCTCAAGTAATACAGTATACAACACTTTATTTGGACTTGTGACTCTTGCCTACCACAGTGGTATTCCACATCCTGTCTTTTTCATATTAAAATATCTTCATTTCTGACCTCGGCTATAAGAACGTAATTTTTAATCTTGACACCGTTAGCTTGATCTACTTTCAAGTGCTTCTAAACCTTTCTATCTTCATAACACGAAAAAATGTGCTGCCTATCAGGAATGAACTGTTTGAACCACCTTGAATATTTGGACTCGAACCTGGTCACCACCAAAAGAAAACACGCTCTTTTATTACAAATGAGGATAGAACGGAATTGGGGACAAAATAAGAGACTAAAAATTTGGAAGCCACCAGAGTAGAAGGTGAGCATTTAGGCTCCCACAATGTGTACTGTAAAAGAGGAAGACGAGCAAAATCTGATGGGCTTTATTGTGTAGCAGTCACTCACTAGACCACACGTCACAAACAGTCAAACCACGCGACAACTCCTGTCCCACTTGCAACCTTAGCCGACAACATGTACACTACAATTTATGATTGATTTTCGTATACGCGGCTACCACCCGCGTCACGCGCCAGACTTACGAACTTCAATATATCAGGTCAGGTTTTCGTGCAAATATCAAACACGAAGGGATACCCCTCTCTTCATACTGCACAAAATAAATAAGCATACATCTCGACCCAACACACACACACGCTGGCGCACAGGACAGGAAGTAAACCGAGATCCACAATTCTCCATGGTTAACTACGGAACACGTGTAGCAGTCATATTGCAGAGAAAACACGTTCCCACGTCCGGAACTTCACTCAAGAGCTCTCAACAGTTTTCATTTTTTGGCTTATTCCACTTTTTGCATTGTATCCATATCTATCAAAATGCACTTAACTATTGAATTTATCATCATTCTGGTAAAACAGAATTTGTTTGTGCTTGTCACCTTCTGCAAATCAACCTAATTACGTTAAAACCAGAGCACTAACAAATGCTTTTGACTTCCCTTCTTACAACGTAGGGTCCCAGCTATTGTGACCATTGAAGGAACAAGACTAATCGTAAAAAGTTGTCACTGATATCATCGTGCACTTTGTCCCACAAACCACTCACGGCGCGGCTAGTATCATCAGCGGGAAAGTGCGGTAAATCGGACATGTAGCAAAACCCTATGCCCGTAGGAGCAATTTTTCAAGGTCGTTGGTTGCTCGTCAGCGAAATGAGCAAGCCAGTTACACCGCTGCCATGCTGTCCTGTGACATGCTCACCTCACATGTCAGTTGCTCGAGATTCAAACCCAATCAAAGGCTAAATACACTGACAGTGAGTTTAAATAAGGACTAAATTCGGGTCCAACGCTTCCTCTTATTCTCCATCGATTCACCAGGTCAGGACTGCTCCAGCGACCGTGATATGAGGGCGACTTATACTAACCCTACAATCACCTACAACCAAACAAAATGGGGGTAAAAACTGGTAGTTTGAATGTGTTTATTGAAAAGTTAATGGACTTATCAGGTGGAATTTGATCACTGTGTCCTCAAAACTCAGGTATTCTTTGATTTGATATATCTGTCTCAGGTCAGGGTTTCCTGGAGAAGACAGCACTCAGTAATATGTAAGCAGAAAGGTGCCAGGCATAAAGGCATTTGCTGTTTAAGAAAGTCGGCCAAATGAACCTCCGTTTCTCCTGCTCGGACCGACGGTCTTTCTACTCTGAACTCTTTTGTCCGTGAGTCAAACACTTCCAGACCTCCACTTGGATCTCGTTCCACTCGGAGCTGTGTAAATAGCCCCAACGACTGAAAGTATCATGAATACCAAAGGTTTTTCTTCAGAATCTGTGGCTTTGATAGTCAGTTTTCCTTTATCTGTTTCTGACGTATCCACTCTGCGACAAAATATTTTGCAACGTTGGCTTTGCAGAGCACATACTATGCTTCAAAGTCCGAGAAATTGTGAAGCTTTAAGAAAGAATAAGGTTCTATGGCAAGTTGAAAATAAATTGCCGTAGTCATCTTACATTATCGCAACGCCCACGCAAACCAAAGACTTCTGTCCTGTTCCGGCAAACTATAACAAGAGATTCAGGGGAGGAAGTTCTCAGCTCCGCACAGCAAAATTACAGTTTTACTACTTCCAGGTAGGTGGACTCTAATTTTTAAAACCCGAAAAATACGACACTTTATTTGTAATGGCAACTGTTTTACTTGGCTCGCCAAGTTTGGGGATCTTTTTTAGATAAGCCCCACCACTAAGGGCAAAAAGCGCATGTGCGAAAAGTTGAGCTACGCCAATTGTTGCCAGCTCCAATTCATTCTGCGCACACCTTGGCCTATTTTTGATGAAAACAATTCCTTATCCTACATCTAGGCTCATTTTGTGCACAAATTTTCTCTGTTCGGACGTAAAACCTTAAATGAACTTTCTGACGCTTTCAACTCTCCTTCATGACAAGGAGAAGGCAGTACGTTTTTTTTTCAAAGCCTCGGAGTGATCCATCAGCAACGCTTAAGCAACAGTTGCCACTAAATAACACTTTCAACTGTTTCTGACATTTGGAGGTGTAATACCCTACAGTGTCAGCAAGAAATCGGTCTTCGAAAGGGAACTTGGCTGCAGCGGTCTAGGATGGAGTTTAGGACAGTAATTCTATCCATTTATTGCCGGTCCAAAAACTTGACAAAAATCGAATTCTGCTCAGAAGAATTATCTATTAGCCACAGCAGAATAAACGCGAATGCGGCACAAACCAATCTTTAGTGAACAGTGAGTTCTTTTGGGGGCAAACATATCAAAGAACGGATCTTTTCATTCGAATTATTGATGACATGTCCCGATTTCACCCTCTTCAATCAAAATTTAAAGTACAGATTTCGTATCCTGCTTCTTCTAGTATTTTTGGGTGCTGGGGTTAATTTTTTGGCGCGGCTTATGTGGAAAAGATCCATGTTTGGTTCGATATATTGACTCGTACCTGTTGCTCTTATACCCCCTAATGAGTGTGCCGGCTGAAAGCTCCGTACAAACTAATGGTCTTATAACTTTTGTTTCACAAGGCACATTATCGGAAGTACTATGGAGCAAGAGTCTACTCAAACCGATCTTTCATTCGAATTATTGATGACATGTCCCGATTTCACCCTCTTCAATCAAAATTTAAAGTACAGATTTCGTATCCTGCTTCTTCTAGTATTTTTGGGTGCTGGGGTTAATTTTTTGGCGCGGCTTATGTGGAAAAGATCCATGTTTGGTTCGATATATTGACTCGTACCTGTTGCTCTTATACCCCCTAATGAGTGTGCCGGCTGAAAGCTCCGTACAAACTAATGGTCTTATAACTTTTGTTTCACAAGGCACATTATCGGAAGTACTATGGAGCAAGAGTCTACTCATGGGTTGTCCAATTCTTTTTATCAACGCTTCACGCATGGACACAGCTGGCGATCAACCTGTTTGGTTTATGTGTATGCAATGTCGTGAGTAATTCTTGTCCCTCAAGGGCGAAGAGCGGACCGCTCAAATCAGTCAAAGTAGAGTCACAAGAGTCAAGAACGCGAACCTCTTAACGATGATCCTTGTAAAAGCTACAACAGTATCATCTTCTGTTTTTCAAGGGAAGGCAATTTCGGAGACCACCAATCAAACAGGCCAAACGACGGTGGTGTATTCGGAGGCAGTTAACAATTGGCTGATTTCAGGGTCACGGAAGAGGTGGTAGAGTATGTGCTGCAACTGATGAAATGTCACGAACAAGTTTGCTATTGGTGGCCACTCAGCATTCCACGTCGATTGATACTTAAAAGACGGTCAGAAAAAGAAAACTAGATAATAGCAACAGGGAAAACCAAATTATTTGATGAACCTAGTACACACATTAAGGCCCACTCTATTGGCACACAAACTATGGGGATTTCCTTTAAATGCACTAACCTGTCCACCAATTTGGTTTTAACGGCATGCTCAAATGAATCACAATTGAATCCCTCATGTATGGCATTCTTCAACTGAATGTGCTATACAAGGACCAGCTCGAGATATCGCACTACACTTTCTCATAAGGATGCTGAAAACCCTTCGACAGCCCACGACTGGCTTCACCTTTCCTGGGATTCTTCATATGACGCAGTTCCCGAGTTGCCGTCGATGCCGTACAGTTCGAATCCAAGCGGCATACTTGGCCTACAGGAATTCCGGGAACTGGGCCTACCTACTGAGCCTCAAGAAGAGATAAACTAATCGGAGATTTCTTTGCAGACTTATAAGTTGCGTGTTACTTCTATGCAATGTATTGCGATACCTCAAATATTGTAACAGCTAAAACATGAGCCGGCCTGATGCATCACATACCGCTGAAGCGAATTATCATAAACGAGATATTCGGCTGGATTTCAGTTGAGTTCTCTGTCAGAACCAAATTCATGGGAGTATTTATTGAAGTGTTTCTGTTTTGGGTTCAAGGAGAACATAAGGTTGACGAATCGCGTCTACCTTATGAGCTCCAGGAAGAGGAAACCGGTCATGGGCTGTCGAAGTGTCTTCAGGAAATTAACGAGTCGGTCGATTACACAGATAGGAACTACCGCCCCCTTTCTGTGGGAACTACATTGACAAGACCGCATATAAGACCCACGTTTTCAGGATGACTGAATCGTCAATTCAGCAACTCCAGAAACTAAATGGCAGCATAGATCCAAATTTAACTAAATTTTAAGTAAACTATTTCGGAGGCTATTTCAACTGTGCAGTAGCTTCGGAACACTTCAGCATTCCAGGAGCCTGGATAACCTGACTTGAACAGGCGTATTTTCGAGGGTAAAGCTTCCTAGATAGATGCCCCTCGCTACTTCATCGAGTGCGAAGTTTTACGAAACAAACTAGGCTAGCTGTTTTCAAAAGCGCACTAGAGAAAAATGCCATTAAAATGCTTAAATAAGAGAGAAAGTGGAACGGTCACACTCTCACGATCGATGTTCACCGAAAAATAAGATACCATCCCCAAGATTCGAAGTTACCTGTATCTAATTTGCAAGATGCACGGATTGGTAAACTACATGGAAGTTAACAGGAGATGTAATTGAATCTTTCGTTTGTGGTATTCACCAGTTGCGTAAAAGGATGTTTCATGTTCCAGTCGGCACATTCTGGATGTAGGCGTAAATCTTCCTGACATAACACACATTACTGATGGCCCCAAGAACAGCAAAACCGGTGGTGGGCTTTTGCCTTGTTTCCATCGACCTAATGAGTAGTGTGTTACATCGGGCTGAAATGCAACATCTCAGTACAAAGAAATCAAATTGGCTACTTCGGACAGTCTCAAGGTTAGCTACCTATCAGCAGCTGAGGAAGAGCACGTCTATTGGAGTGTGCTCTTGGAGAGCCAGACTAAACTACCACGTGCTTCGTGTTTTAAAACAGGTGCACACAAACTGGGATCTCGTGGCAGCCTTTCTGTGCGGTTTAGGTAATGTGCTACTTAGAACTTTTCAGTAGGTGGTCACATATTTACAGCGTTTCTTGTTTGAAGGCTTGGGAATGTCATGTGTACAGACAGCCGCACATCCCATATTATTGATCAGCAGAACACTTCATGTTGTTCACAGCTGTGCCGACAGTTGCTATCCCCTCAGCACACAGGACCTGGTCAGCCCAGCAATGCAGCCAACAAAGTGAACAGACAAGCAGTATCATACCCTCAGGCGAAGGGAACTACAATTCAGTATCTTGAATCGGATCGATCAGATGGTGAATGCATTGAAACCAAGATGGTTAGCCCGGCACCTACCGGAAGAACAGTGACTTGTCGTGTTCCGACAACGGTGCCATAAAGCAGTAGTCTATATTGATAAGAAACCTCACGTTAGGCACCATCATACCTTAGTTGTTACCGATCCAATAAAATATAAAAAAAAACACACACTTAGATCACAGCGAAATACACTCATTTGCAAACCAATTTGATCTTTACTGCAGACTTACCTGAATCCAAGCTGAATTAGAACATCGTAAACGAGCATTTGGGTGTCTCCTGTGGAAACCATATTGGTATGCAAATGATCGTATTTCGCTATTCGATTTTTAGTGGAACATAAAATCAAAGGATACTTGGAGAACGTGACTACCTGATAAACCCCAAGAAAAGCGAAGCCGAAGATTTTTTAGCAACCTTATGAGTAGAGCGTTACGTCTGTAAATGGGGCCTTTTTAGGACAATGCGGTGAATCAGACACAGCTGACGCTTAAATTCCAAAAGAAACAAACATAAGGTCACCTAACCCGAGAAAAAATCATGTCCCAGTGAATATCTCCAGTTTTATTCCGTCTACCTCAAAACCGATATTAGCGGATGAATGCAACTTTCGATATCCACCCACTACCTTTGTGGTTTCAGAAGAGAAATCTACAAATACGTGCTTGGTTTTGCTCCATGGAGTAACTAAACATTTTGAAAAACAATAATAGTCCATTGACTTACAAATTTCCGTTGAACTGACCAAAATTAGATAACTCTGAGCAGCTACGGTTTTATGCACAACAGTTCCTATGCTGTTGTACCAAGGTTACTACAGTTTTCTGCGCAACTTGATCAGGCGGAACTTTTTTGACGGTCAAATTTCATTGGTCTTGTTGACGGTAACCTGATACTGTATAACACTGGCCACTTCCTTTCGGTATTTATGTCCAAAAAGAATGAATTGCTTGTTTATACAACAACATGAGACTGGGACTCACCGTCATCGTCACCGTTCTACTGTGTTTGGCAGAAACCTACACCAAACGAGGAACACTGAAGTAAGTAGTATTTGTTGAGCCAGCAGGGGGGATTCTACAAACATGTCGATTGTTAAAACAGTAAGTAACGCGTGGTCATTCGAACTAATCAGGTTGGCTTAATTTGACTCGGGCATGTAACTTTTCGACTCTAATTTGTCGACTTTGTCAAAATCTATTTTTCCGCAAAAACCACAGTCCACCACATTAGGTGCGGACAAGAACTTCCGTAATCTCTTTAACGTCATCCTCGAACAGTGCGCATAGAGTGCACAAAAAGGTTCGAATACTGCTCTTTCAGAAAACTGAATAAAAACCCAACCTAATCAATCATGTTTGTGTCTCCCAGGTCTAGTATGCTGGCATAAAATGCCCCAAAAAAACTTCACCAAAACGATGGTTCATATAGTGATTCTGGAATAATTCCTTAGCCTGGATTCAGTTATTGTGACTGACACAATGGGTGATACGATTTTCGGGGACCTGAAACGGTCGCACAAGTCCACTGTGTCAGGGTGAAATATTCCACCAGACAGGCGAAGCCCAGTTTTTTTTAATTCCTGGATAGGATCTTTATAACTTAATCACACATCTCGATAGACTATCGCGGTCCCCAGTTAGGATACGAATGGCATGAATCTAGTAGAATTTACCCCGGAGTTACCATTTTTCGGGTTGATTAATAAACTACCCGAACGCAGAGCTGACCAGAAACGTGGGTGGCTCCGTCCAGCGTTCACCGTCCGATTAAGAGACATGGAGTGGGTTATTTAGCAGCTTTTGCGACACACCGGAAAAATGCTTACCCGTAATGATTTTTGGAGCCGTCTTATGGTCCAATCAGTCCGCATGCATCTCTTTTAAGTGTGACTTGGTTTGTCGAAACCCTCACCAATTGTCAGACGTGGTCATTCAGAAACACTTTTATGTGCTTCTGAGCTTGAGCATATAGCTATGCGCTCAAAACGGATGATTAATGTCCATCATGGTAGATTTATTCACTCAGATGGGCGTGCAGTGCACCCTACCTCGGTTGTCCCTCAGAACGAAGGGACATCCCAAAATGACAGACTCAATAAGCATTTGTCGAACCTGATCAGAGGGCGCCCTCCAGCAAGGTGCCTGAATATCCTTCCAAAATGCTCGAGAGAGGCTTCTGACGCCATAGCTACTAGACATCTAGCCACGGGTCTATGTGCACGAAAAAACCCTCATGCAACTAGTCCAGCTGTTCTGATCACCTGTAAGCGATGTTACGATCAATGCACCGGTCTGTGGGTTCAGTTTGTCTGCTCGTCACCGCGCAGACCCTGACAATAACAGCGGCCTGAACAGTCCATCCACGTACTTCCACTTTAGCTTTGTTGGTACAGTTCTCATTCGATATATCTAAGCACGGTCACTAGCACGCCATTCGGGAAACATTTGGTAGCCTTGCTCGGCTTCTCTCAATGGCCCTGTGAATGGTATTTTAAGCTAATCGGGTTCGAAAAACAGTGTAACAGTACAACAAAGGAAAATCGCACTACAGCATGTCGTATTCTCACTGTCTATTCTGCCAGTGGGCCGGCATTTCATCATAAGTACCTCAGTCTGTCAACTCGTTAGGGGCCGTACGTAATTAATGATTTAGCTGAACCGACGCGTAATCTCGCTTTATTTGTAACTGTCCTACCCACCCATTTTCCTTTAGGAAACAAGTGCCAGTTTGGCCAGAAAAGTCGATTTTGAACCGATTTCGAATAGTTGATATGGTGTGAGCTACGGTCACCATCACGCTATTCTGCTTTGTGATGCAATGACTGTGTCACATCGATTGAGATGAGTTCCAGTTGCCTATGGGGTGTGAAAGAACTACAGACTTTGCTCACTTAGTCGGAAGCACAGTCTGCCGCAGCAAGCGCAGTCGTCATCACCATCCCGATGGTGTTTTTTACGTGATAGACCAAGAGTGAGGAGTGAATACGACTGAACCGGCTCCTCAACCCGAAACTCTGCTCACCAATCCAGCCGCTGGAGTTTACTCATTGTGGTCAGTCAGAATTGAAACTATACGCACCCGCACAAAACATAGTTTTCACAGTTACAATGCGAAAGTAAGACCACTACAACCATATGGTAGGATTCAGCATTCGTGAGCCGGCTGGGTCCAGACATCACCTCCTAGAACGTTCATCTAACTGGCCTCTTGTCCGTGGAACCCACCTGCCAGACAGAATTTCCGAACCACCAGAGTCAGGGAACATGTAACGAAACGAAGTACTTCCATGGATTGAATCAGTGAGATAAAAGCAAGCAAACAGGATAAAACCGTCCAAAGCGCTATCGAATAAATGGTCAGAGCGAATGCAGTGTGTTCAGAAAAGATTCAGCATGATTCTGAGACCGTCACAATTTTATTGGTCAAATCATAAGATGCAGGCATGCATTTTAGTTTGTTTTACACGTTTTGCGGAGCGCTCAGTATTCGTGTAATGGAATCGAACTGTCGAAAGTTATGACGCGTCCGTAATGGACTAAAACAATCAGGCAATTGACTTGAGAGTACCTGTCCAAACTTTTAAGCCCATTTAGGCATCCCCGGGGTCTCAGCGATGCTGGGACACTATCCCAAGGGACTTTTCAGCCAGAGGCATGGTTGCTTCAGTGAACAATGAAATTTGGTGAGATGCAAAAATACGAAAGTAGATTGGGACGGTTTTCGGTTTGAGCACATAAGCAACAAAATGCAATATTTTGGCGTAGAAATTTTTACTCCACTTGTAAAGCTTCTGCAGCTGAGAGCATTGTGTGAATAATAGGCATCGTTTTGCGGCGAATAAGAACAAAAAAGATGCATTCTTCCTAATACCACACCCTTCTCCTTGTCTTGTACTAAGTGACCTGGGAAGCACACTATTCCTAGGCAGTCTGTTGTGGGAACATTACAGTTTAGCGGTTTCCCTCAAGAGTAAAATTCCTGCACTTGTCATCTTTTATGTCAGTCTTTTACCGACCCTACTAAACTGCTCTGATAGTTAGGCATATAAATATATATATGCATGTATTATATACACAACATTTATTTTATCATATATAATATGTATAGATATGCCTCAATCTAAAATTCTCTTGCACCCCCAAATAAAACAGCGCCATAATATCACAAATCCAAAACTCTGGTGACGTGGTAGTCCAGTTCCTTCGCCTAAAAACTTTTCGACTGATGATTTCTCGGTCTTATCCTCCACGTCATAGTTCAGTTTTCATTATGGTGAGTGTTGATCTGATCAATTTGTGCATTAAAGTTCCAGGACATTGGCAAGAGATATGAGAGCCGAAACTTGCGACCGATTGCGAAGCCGTACCGAGGTGAGTCTACCGCCCGAGTTGCCATATAGTTTATTCAAAGAAAACAGGAAGTAGAACGATTTACTTCTAGAAGTAATCTACCTGGCTATGTTGAAGGATCCGTGACTGTAAATTTACCTCATCTACTTTATAGGCCCAAGATAGCCGCACCACCCTGACATTTCCAAGTGTTGAATGTTTCAGGGCATTGTGACGAGAAAAGCAAGTGTCCAGTGCAGTCGTTTCGTAGGTCCATTAAGATTTACCTTCATTCTCATCCTCATTTCTACGTGTCTATATTCAACATTTGGGAAACTTTGAGTAGTGTACTACAAAATATATATCTCGAATATCGTAGCGACTGAAACATAAGGCGGCCTGATGCAACACATTCAGTTGCCTGGATACATCCAAACCGAGAGATTCAGCTGGATTCCAGGTGAGTCTCTCGAAAAACCAAACTAGTTTGCAAATGAAGAGTATATTCGCTAACTTTGAGATCTCCCTACAAATTCAAACATCATCGAGCAAATGGATGAGGAGCGAAAATCGATAAGAAATTCCCTGACACATCACTAATGGTTTCATCCTGTATGTGATAAGCAAGTCAGGTAATATACGCATCAGACACTGTCATCCTCGCTTCTTTTTAACCTGATATCATGGTCCGTTGGCTTCTAACCACCCTGAAGCTACGACAAAGTAAATTGTACTTGGGATTCTGGTATTCATAAGAGGGGCCTTATGCGCAGCATGCTTTTTCCGACCTAGGTAGAGCACAGCTAAACAAGTTTCAAACCGACTTATTGAGTGCAGTCACTCTCTTATGCGGTGAATAATAGTAAATGCTGAGTTAAGTCGAGCCCGAGCAAAAGACATGCGTAATCAACACCATCACGTCTAACCGCAGGATTTTATACTTCAAAACTACCTGCTTTCCCATACGGATCTTGTCAACTCTGATGTTATTCCAAGCACAGTTCACACCGTGATCCCTTCGATTGGTCGACATATCGATTAGTCGTATAAAACTGCCTCGTGATTGGACATATTCGCCCTTCGCATGATTGGTTCGTTTTCCTATCGATCTGTGTCATGATTCTGTACCCCGCGCAATCAAAAGACACTTCCGTCTGTGGCATTTAGAAAGCACTTTGAGGGTCTGGTAATCTGCAGTGGGGCATGTCATAAGAAGATTACATCATAAAACTTTGAGTAGACTCTATGAAAGACTCCATAATTTACCATAATTTAAGTGACAAGTACAGCCGTCGCACTAAGACCACCTTTCCTTATTGCAGAGCTGGTGGCACGTAATCAGTTTTCATTCCCAATGACATAACATACGTAATCTGATCAACTGAAGTAATTTTTTCTGGCGGACCTTCACTGGTCGAGTCAGTACACAGAGTTCGCAAGCCTTTCGCATTCTAAATTATTTCGTCAGTCACAGACACAGTATAAATAGCGGGTATGGTACCAGCGAAACATCTACATCGAGCGACACATTATTCTGAGGGAAAGGGTACTTTGCACTCAGTCGACGGCTAGACGGACAGCTTAAAACAATAGTTTTGGTGAAGGAAATTCAGGTTACTGTAACCTTATCAACATCATTCCAAAGTTTCGGGATTCGACTGCACAACAGCATGGTGACAGTACGAATTGGGCTGACCAGTGTAGCGGACATTTCCATACCAGCTCGCCTGTATCAGAGGTACGTTTTAATAGCGGTGACCTGAAGTTCATTCTAGAACTCGATGGCATTGATCCGTAGTGCTGCAGGGTGCAACTGGTTCGAAATATATGTTCGACGAAGAGATCGACAACCAAAAATCTGCATTTACTTGCCACTAGAAATTCAGATTTCCTCAAACCCTTGAAAGAAGGTTTGTGAGCGCAAGGTCCTGATGACACAATACTGTGTTGTTTGTGACAAGGATCGTGAAATTTTACGAAGTTTATTACCCTACATCGATCCTCGTTCAAGTCCGGACCTACAAATCCGATATGTCAGGACGACATCAAAGGACACGTTACCGAACGAAACACATACAAAGCGCGGCCTAAGAAGCTTCTAGAATGCCAAAAACGAAAGCCGTTATTATTGACTGGTGATGAAAGGGAGGACGCACTTCAGAACGTTTACAAGCTATAAGACGCGCGGAAATCTCAGAGTATTTGAAAAGCGAGCATTGTCAAGCGCCCTCCTGAACTTTCCTGTGCGATCTTTGAATATTGAACAATAATACACAAGTACTAAAAAGCGGTTCCATCACTTCTGTACCAACCTTCTATCAGGTGTTGGACGGTGCTTTTACACCTGACCAGACACTACTCACGTTTCATCAGTAGCATAAACAATTACAGTACTACTTTCTATTGCCAGACCGTATCACTGGAAGAAGATAAGCCATTTAATCGCTGATGGGAGGAACACCAGATAAAGGTCTGTTGTTTTCACCATTTACTCTAGAAGCTGGAGAAACTAGCCAAACTGCTTGCCCGAAAGAGTAGGAGGGGCACGAATGTGCTATTTGAACCCGAATTGCTGGAAATTAGTCGAACAAACTCACTTTCGTACTGGTTGGTGAGCTGTCAAAGAACTTTCGGCAAGCCTGTGAGGAGTTTATTACGCCTGTTTGATTCGAGTTAGTTTGGCAGCTACGGACAAAGTTCGAATGCTTTGGAGACTCCGATGGTCAGAAGCTAGCAGTTTTCGTACATTCATGTTTCTGTTTCACAACACAGTATGGGCCACATGGCTGTAGTGAATACTCTGCCCTTGAAAGACGAATTGACTTCACGCTGGCGCCATAGGAATCGGGGGTTGGCAAAAACAATCTGGTCTCCAACTAGCCATAGAACTCTCTCATAAACCAACCTAGGCTGGTCAGTCTTCAAGCATGAGACGTGGGTTTCAGGCTTCAGGCCTGCAAACTCTGTCACCAAATGCCTCTTCAGGTTCGGGTATTTTACTTTGAGCTACTCACGGTGGTTTCAGAACAGCTAAAGATTACTCTCACCGAATCAGTCTGACGATATGCGCCTAAAAAACTCCAGTACTCCGCTATGGGTGCTTTTACAACTTATTTTACAACAACCAGGAAGATGTGTCTTTAGACAAGGGTTTAGGCCATGTTGTCGTCGTCCGACGGATGCCGTGAACTTCACGACCAGGTACTGAAAGGGATTCTTCTCGCACAAATATTTTACCTTTTTATTCGGACCTGTCCTCAGGTCACCTTTGTGCCCACAAACAGACCAAGAAGTGATTCACGCATCGCAAGTTTATCATGACTCGTTACGAACGGAATCTTTTTTGTCGTTCCACTTTCCTCGGTTGAAAGACTATTGCTGTTCAAACAGTCATGAAATTCCAATCCAGGTAGAGGCAGCGCTTCTCATTTTCACTCAGATATGACCGATATTCTAGGTAAGTTGGCACTTTAACCCACAAACAGACTAGATCGATTTTAGACTTCAGGCGGTAAGAACTCGTTCAGGTAGGTCGTGCAACGAGCGGGTACTTAGCTCTTGACCTTGATACTACTTTGTTGATGTCACGTGTGTACACTGTGCAAACATTCAGTTGCTCACCTATTCAGAAATTTATGTTCCTCGTTATTTTCGAGCACGATTAGCCTGTTGAGGAGCTACTGAAAAGCTTCCAGTTCACCGCTGGCCGTTGCTGAAGACAATATCTCCCGCGTTCTCAGAAGTGATGTATTTGCACCACTAATATGTACCGAAGCCATACTTCTGTACTTCGCTAGGAATGTCGTTTTAACTATTTTCCCCTGATTTTCCCTTTCAGACCATCTGTTCCTTGAGCACTTTGGGAAATTTACCAGATTACGGATTGGACGAGTTGAAATTTCCTCAGGGACATGACCTGTTCAGAGTTGCTGTTTAACGAAAGTCTCCGAAGCTTGCATATTTATCCGCTGAATACTCATTCCATTCCACTTTGAATTGATCGTTTGTGCCTGAAATAAAAATTCAATTCGCAGAGTCTCATGTGACTTCTATCCGAAAACGGCACAAGTACAGTCCGATAACCTTGTCAAAAAAACAGGTGAAACAGACATGAGGCTGCGTTCCGAAGTTTGCTTTTCAAACCACTACAAAGTACCTATTTTCATCAAATGAATGTTGTAACAAGTGTTGACTTGTGACGACAACTCCAGTGAGATGGGGTGGCCTGTACTGGTGAGCGACTTTATAGATTGGTTGGTTATTCAATTCGACTAACTCAACAACTCTAGTATTTGTGAGAAGCTCAACGGTCATTTTAAAAACCGAGATGGTTTTCTTGATCAATACATCTCAGATCTGTATGGCACTGCGCAGAATTCACGTGTATAGCCTGGAAAGGTCACGGATATACGAGTGAAGAAAGGGAAAAAAGGGAAGGACTGGTCAACGGAATTATGCCATCATGTAAAACGTTTGAGGGGAACCACTTCTGGGCCAACTCATCCCAAAGTCCGCGTCAGTATTCGGAAACACAAGGTTTTCCGTCAAAGTGCTGAACTTTGGTCTTATCCGCAATCGATAGTCTGCTGTACCATGCCAGTGCTGACTGGTTTAGAGGTTCTCATTTCGTGACCAATGAGGCATGCTCCTCTTCTATGGCCTGACTGGTCTCGCCCGAAGGTGACGTGTTACACTTTAGAAATGTGTACTCCATGCACCGTTTTCTCTGAGGACCAACTTTACGTAAAACCAACACACGATACCCGGCAAGAGCATACGGGTGTGTGCACACAAAATCTTGGCATTTTATCATTCGAATGGAATTCGACAGTGCAGCTGGACCATAAAGTCAGGTATCAATTAGCTACCGTATTACGCTACATGAATACAATGCCTTCTTCTTCGGATTCTTCTTCTTTGAGTAGTCGTTTCCTGATTGAGTGACAGGTTGATGTAGACACGTTTTTTTCCAACGGATTAGGTATGCTTCTCAGTTTCATAGACTGCATGGGCTTTAGCATAAACTGGTTCCCAAATCTGCTCTGCCTAATTGTGTATCCCGAACATTTTGTTTCCTCTTGTGGGTACCCGGGGAGCCATGTTGTTGTTATTGCCTCATCATCATCATCATCATCATCATCATCATCATCCACAGCATGACATCAGTGTTCAACACCGATGCATCACTGCCGCAAGGGAAAGTACCTGGAGAACGGAATATACCGGCCCGTCTAAGTTTTATTCCAGCGCATGGCCTCATTAGTATTCTCTATGATGTCATTATCGAGAGTCAACTTGATGTTAGTGTGAACCAAACTGTTACTGTTGGCACGTCGATTGGGTTGATGCTGTCACTGCCAAATTATCCACTAATTGTTAACGACCATACAGTGAGACTTGTTCTGTTTCAAGTTCATTCATGAATGGATCTGTCAGGAGGGAATCCGACCGCAATTCTCCATTGCTATCGACAGACTTCACCATTGAATCCAAAATGAACTTCTGTGCGCAAATCAATAAGTTGTTTTAGGTACAGGTTAGGAATACCGACGCACTCAAGAAATTCAGAAGTGCAGGCGATTGTTTTGGTGAGTGGTACATTGGTAAACAAGGAAAGAGCTTCAATTCAGGACGTTATCGACTTCCAGATCTTTCGGCTGCCTAATGAACAGAAAATATCCTTCAGTATGAAAGTTGAAACTTTTCTTGCGGTCGGCTTCAATGCCTTGCTCAGATGAATCTCTCGTTTACTGTATCCGTTGTCTTCGCAAAACTTGACAGCCCCAAAGCACCTAGAAGAAAGTAGATATCTTTTCAGGTTAATTGATAGCTGGCATCATTCTAGAGAATCCTTACACAAAGTTAACTAACGGCTTCCTGCAGGACAGCCTATCTCGTATCGTTTTTCAATGGTGTCCATACATATCCAGCCATCAACACCTAGACAGATATCGTGGTGAAAGACTGACCTTCAGAGATGAATCAACACTCAGCGAAAGCGAAAAGTCGAACGCTTCTAGTCAAGCATGGTTCATTTGTGGATCCAGTTCCCAGGCAGATCGCTGAGTTATCCTGGGGCGTTACCCCTGGTTCACACACAACCGGTTGGTCCATTACATTAAGCTTGTTCTTACGAAAATTTAGTTACAAAGTTCACGTGAGTTGAGTCAGTGTGTATATTAAACTGCGTATAAACACACAAAACAGTACGAATAGGTCCTGATAACAAAGCAACCAGAGTTTTAGTCGACTTCACGAGGTCATTGGAGAAACCCAGCCGAGGCAGTACCACCAGGCTGTACCTTTTCACCCTTATCCTTTTGTTGTTGCTTCGGGCGGACGCGTCGACAGAGTCCAATAAGACTCAGTAAAATTGCCCAAGAACCGATGTATCCCAGAGTGATCATCATGACATAGTTTGTCCAGTCTACAAAGTCCAGCCATGTCTCTTCCTCCACAGGGACATCTTGAAAGCATCCACTATTCTCCACACATTGTCGAACCTGAAAAAGATTTAAGGTTTAAATGACAAAGGTTAGTGGAACAGCGATCCTTAAAGCTAGAATACAAATGCAACCAATGGTATACATTGAATGCATCACTTCGTATGTTTGGTTGATGATTCGGTGAGGTGAGAACCACGAAAGTAATGGTCAAAGCAGTAGTAGTAGCAACCGTACCAAGAGCATAAACTTGACTCTACCGGAATCGCCATATTAGTTTGTGTGATATCTATATTGTCCTAGGAATGCCAATAAGGGTCATGTGGAACTCTATAGCGTCCTTTTTCACAGAGATCGCGCCAGTGATCGTTCAAAGCAGAGGCTCACACCCGCCGGATTTCGACTTCTTCAATAAGCGTCCTTGTTCACAGAGATCGCGCCGGTGATCGTTCAAAGCAGAGGCGCACACCCGCCGGATTTCGACTTCTTCAATATTCCGAGGTATTGAAAACTCACAGTAAAACATTTCCCTCTTGTTCCGGTGATAAAAGTTTGTCGAAACATTCTCTGAAGAACGGTCGCTTCTGGAGCACATTCACTGCGGTGACCTTCCTTACATTTCTTTCGAAAAACCACCGTGTCACTATAAAGTGAAGGGGACTGACTCAGACAAATGCGCCATTAGAAACGGCTTGATGTCTTAGGAAAATCATCACGGTGTGGCTATTCCGAAAGATGGGAAGGGTGTTATCATGAGGACTGCGTCTGCGACCGGCAACCCTTGTCTGTAGTCGCATGTAATTCGCCGTGAGTAAATTCACAGAGAATAAGTTTTCGTCACTGCATCTACACACTGCATTTGGACTACGCGGATGCAATGTGGATACTGAGGTCATTCGTGTCGTACTGAAAAGTCATGACTGACACATTGACGGAGAAGAAAAGAACTACTGGTTCGTCTGTAGGCTTGCTACACGTCGCTTGTATTTTTTGTTTAAATGTGCCTGAAATTATCATTACCAGAGTTAAACATCTAACAAGACGGTGGGAAACTGTACTTCCATTCACAGTATGGGACAACCTCAGACCCAATGAGAGGCGTAGGATGAAAACAAAATGTAACATTCTAATTAGTACTAACAATCATGATCAAAGATAATTGAAATGTAAAATACTACTTGAACATACCTCTTCTACAGGTCCGATACAGTCTCCCTCATTTTCCGACATACACATTCGCAACCGCCGGCGATGTCGTACTGGTCCACAGACGGGCTCACAATTGCTCCATTCCGACCAGTGTGACCAAGTTCCGGTGGTTTGATCACACAGACTGCCCGTATATCCTTCATCGCAGTCGCATGCGCTTTTCAGGAGGTCCTTCCGGTATACAGGGGTTAGGAATAGAATAGAGTTTATCCAGATTTGAACGGAATATAGTGAAGGTTTTGGCACTTGGTTTTTGTAAAGCATCAGTGAAAACGGTATAATGTACTGGCTGCTTGAGGGTCCGTCGCTCCCTGAACAGACGGATTCGAACGATAAGCAAAGACCCGTCGTCAAAGGAAGTAGCCCTACTTAGCTTTAACTAGACAGAATACGATAATGGTTTCAGAAATAGAGAAAATAAGGAATCAATAAGACAGCACTTGGTCTTCATAAGATAAGCTCATAAAACTATAGTCCTCTCCAGTGCTTGGGTTATCCACACCTTATATCTGTCATCTACCTTAAGGGGGCAAGTCTGTTCCCCGTAATATTTCAACCCACCCTGAACGATTCAACTTCCAATGAGTAATGTTTTCATACCGGCAACTCGGTCCTCACATCACCATTCTCCATTTTAAGATATGTCCTATAAATACGCATGGCTGTTTTATAGAGTAAGGCTTTTCTGGAGCCCGGAAACGAAGTCTTTGATGACCAATGACTGGGGTAGATAATTTCACTAGCTGATGATCGGAAGCCTCAATTTCACTGTGAACATTTGACATATTTCGCTGTGTCTTCCCATGGAAATAAGTTCCATTACACAATTTGATTCCTCAAAATTTTCAGACAGCTTTGAAATAATGGATGAAGGCCCACATAACACTGGCTTGAGAAGTCTAGCCTTCCTGCAGAAGTGTGCCGACGTCCTCACTAAACCAGTGAATATTCTCTTTAGCTAGTGTCTTTCTGCTCAGAAACTTGTCGGTCGCAGCAGGATGGCAAGGATAACACGAAGGCCAAAGGAATGAAAAGCTTGACTTGAACCCAAAGCGTGCGCTTTTATCTTTCCAAAGCCACTACAGAATGAGTGCCTAAGAACCCCTCTCCTATTGCTTGCTTATCAACAGTTGCCCGTGCTTTCAGATTTCAACCAGATTGTCTAACTGGGCGTTGAGTTGTGTGACTATCACCTGAACCTTTTCCCTGCGCCCTCTATTTTTCCCACCTCAGCACTGTCCAGAACAATCTCTGTTGTTTTCTGTACTTTCATTGCCAACGTTGATATTACTCTCCATGACAATGACATCCTCTGGACGAAAAATCTGTTTGGACAAAAAGCCGTGTCACGACAGAATGTGTATTCGGACGCCTATTGCACCATTTAACGGGAATATAAATGAGCTTAGTCAGACATTTGTGGGTTTACCGTTGGTTGTTTCCCACTTCAGTCAGTATCAATTCTGGTTTGAGAATATTAGGCACTGATGGTCTGAAGAGAAACACATAAGATTCAGAAGTTCTTGGAAGCCTAGGAGTTTTGTTTCTTCTGTCTTACACAAATGACCTCCTACCTGAAGTAAAAGCATTCACTGAAAGGAAAAATAATGGTCCTAGAGGCTGTATCTTATGAAAAGGGTAACTTTTATTTGATCTGCGATGAGTGTTCTGTGTTAGTAGCTAATGAATGTTTGTGGAGGAGCTTCAAACGGAGTTTCAGTAAACGAACTCAGGAACATCAGCCCAACTTGATTCAGAACCATTCGAATCAGACCTATAACCAACGTTGTCTTCCAATACCTGTTAAACTATCCGTGATCTGCTTAAGCATAGGCCACATAAAATGATCCATCAAACTGCATTTTCTGAGTGTAATGCACTCATTACATCATTATGGTCAAGACGTCATTGGTTCGAATCAAGTCCAGGTATTTCCATTGATGCTGCACCAACCTGACATTAGTTCAAAGTTCTAGTTTCATTGGAATTAAATGGGAGCTTTGGACCAAAGTACAAATGAATTAGCGAGGGAAATTGGCATCTCAGAATGTTTGCGACTAGCTAGCAACAGGTCTCGTCCTCATCCAACCTTTTCCCTTCTTTTGAATTTAAGGCCTTAAATTCTTTATGTAGACTTTTTGTCCGTACGGTCATGAAACGCTAATGCCAATACTGATTTTTCTGTCTCTTACGAGGATGCTGAATGGTTCACTATTTAACTACCTTCATATCTTATGCAGAACAGCGAGCCTGTCCATTTGGTGAGGTTCCCGCTACACTGGCACTGCAGCTGAACAGTTCTCGGAGTTAATTTTCAGTCTGCCCCCAACAATCCAGCATAAAAAAGTGTTTGCATGGACATGATAAAATTGTGAGTAGTTTCGGAGGCAAATTCGAGTTAATTAGACCTCGGTTTTACAATACATCCAGAGTAATGGAAAGAATGCAAAACTGTCAACGTACGCACAACAACTTGACCTACGGGTGATGTGACGCACTGTCCATGTACACAAATTCGCTTATCACAACTATCCAGTGGCTTCAGACAGTTATCGTAGGGTAGTGCAACATCTCGTACATAGGCCGGACTGCATACGCACGTGTAGGTTGTAGTGTTGGGGATTGAAAAACACAGATTCCTTGCGTCTAATGTAGCCCCACAAGCTTCGTAACCAGATGGAACCACGGGACCAACGTTCAGGCCTCTGGCATCGGGGGCTTTACCCAGCACGCAGGCATCGTACTTCTGGCTACAGTCGAAGCCCATAAACCCGTCTTTGCAGCGGCATATTGCAGTGGCTTAGAAAAAGAGAAGACGAAAAAATATGTATTAGTCGGATATGTAAGGCACGGGGTGGAAATCAATCAGTTAGAAGAAGAGACTGCAACATCTTCCTAGCGGACAAAGATGACAGTCCACAGCTCATTTCATGATATAATGTACAGGCATAACTGACAATAATAATCGCCTACCAGTAAAACCCTTTCGGCGCATAGCTGCTTTGCCGTCCTGAGGACGCATGGGGGCTAAGCTACTATCAGGCTGCCCAAGCCTAGTTGGAAGCAGTCGAGGCGCCGGGGTTGGATTCGAACCTCGGACCTTCAGGCCAGTTAGTTCTTAAGCGCTGCGAAAGCTCCAGCTTTATAGTAGGGATAGATTGCTTGAATTTTACGGTGGGGTTACGAGTTTCCTCCTATTTGAGAGCTCGAAATGACCCAGTTCGAAATATTGTAATTTTCGTTGTTCACACAAAAAGAATCGAGAGAAAATGGTTACTGACCAACAAATCAGTTACGTGAAAGCTAACCAGTGCCAGTGAACTAATTTGGAGTGTGCTCTTTCTCCAGAAGGCAACTATTAGGAATCCAGGAACGACTGAAAAATTGTTCTTTAAAAACACTTCTAGAAGAGTTTACATATATATAGAGGTGCAGAATTCTCATAATTAGGTTTACTTTTTTGTAGGACCACTGTACTTTGCGTAGATAGTTTAAAGTAGTAATCTTGAAGTAAAATGAACTATTCTGCACACATTTGAACAAACAACCTTGGGGCGCTATTCTAACCACCACTACCTGAGGCTACTACGGAAAGGGAACTTCCCTGGACTCAATAGAACATAAACAAATATTCGACCTCTTGTTTTCTAAGGGTTCCGGTCAGTTTCAGAATGTCCTTTCAGCAAGTTGCCGCAGAGAGGACAAAATTATCTGTGTAGAAAGAACAGCAGGGAGCCGCGATGTAACGGAAATCAAGGTGAACTTGTGAAGATTTCCTATTTCTATTCCATTCCAGGATGCACTTTCTTGTTCAGAAGAGTTCAGATGTATTTCTGATTTTTGTGTGTGAATTCACCGCACTTGTCTGTTAGTAAGACCCCTAAACAGAGATATGCGCACAGAGACGGTATATTCTTGAAGCTGAGTAACCATATATGTCAGGTGCCTGCTTGACGACAACGTCGATTAAAAAACTTTACCCTAATGATCAGCTACTCACGAGTAGTTCAACTTTTGCTCATTTTTTGAAGAGGGCCTGGTCTTAGTGTGAAAGCGTGAAATCCAGCTTATCTCAATTGCCTCATCATGAATTGGGGAGATCATCCGTCCGTATCAGTATTGCACAGATTACGCCTTTCCGATTGGTTTGAAAACTGAATATTTAGTAAAACTCAGAACAGCTGAAATTGTAGTTGGCCTGAATAAGTGACCTAGATGGAACACTACATAATACGATACACATCTACCATATGACCACTCACCCGATGTACGATTCACAATGCAGCCCATCGTGTTATTTTCGTGACATATTTTTCCACAATTGTCATCGATTGAGCACAACATCGTGCTGTTTTCCCACTCGTATCCCTGGGTAGGAAAATGGTCAAGGGACAGGGCAATGAGAATATGCCAGTGTTGTCACAGACGTTGCATGAACCGACTATCTCTCTAATTCAGAACAGTGGAGAGTTTATTCCAGAGTGATGGTGCCCAAATTTCCACCGACTTTCAAAAACCGATCCGTTGTCTTTATCATACTGCTTTGTTGTAGCGCACATAATTGTGCAGCAGATGGAAATAAGCTTCATCAGATCTTTCGTAGGGTGGGAATCATAAAATTCGATAAATTCGATATTGTGACGAGAATTTAGGTCCAACTACTGAATAGACTTTCAGCTTTCGACTAAGGCACAACGGCTGTGTAAAAGACAGCATCTAAAGGTTAGTTGCATTGTGGCCCTAAACAGGTCTTTTTTAGTTTCACCAATAGATGAGGGAATGAGCGGGTTTTTTTAGTTTCACCAATAGATGAGGGAATTGCTGCGTCCCGTCTTTGTGTCCTCACCCAGAATGATGGCAATGACCAGTGCAGATGAGTTTGCTGGTAGTGATTTTTACACTTCGTTGCCAAGTCATTGTTTGACCTCAGCGGGTCTGCCAGAACAAACTATTCACTGGATCCNGACGGTATATTCTTGAAGCTGAGTAACCATATATGTCAGGTGCCTGCTTGACGACAACGTCGATTAAAAAACTTTACCCTAATGATCAGCTACTCACGAGTAGTTCAACTTTTGCTCATTTTTTGAAGAGGGCCTGGTCTTAGTGTGAAAGCGTGAAATCCAGCTTATCTCAATTGCCTCATCATGAATTGGGGAGATCATCCGTCCGTATCAGTATTGCACAGATTACGCCTTTCCGATTGGTTTGAAAACTGAATATTTAGTAAAACTCAGAACAGCTGAAATTGTAGTTGGCCTGAATAAGTGACCTAGATGGAACACTACATAATACGATACACATCTACCATATGACCACTCACCCGATGTACGATTCACAATGCAGCCCATCGTATTATTTTCGTGACATATTTTTCCACAATTGTCATCGATTGAGCACAACATCGTGCTGTTTTCCCACTCGTATCCCTGGGTAGGAAAATGGTCAAGGGACAGGGCAATGAGAATATGCCAGTGTTGTCACAGACGTTGCATGAACCGACTATCTCTCTAATTCAGAACAGTGGAGAGTTTATTCCAGAGTGATGGTGCCCAAATTTCCACCGACTTTCAAAAACCGATCCGTTGTCTTTATCATACTGCTTTGTTGTAGCGCACATAATTGTGCAGCAGATGGAAATAAGCTTCATCAGATCTTTCGTAGGGTGGGAATCATAAAATTCGATAAATTCGATATTGTGACGAGAATTTAGGTCCAACTACTGAATAGACTTTCAGCTTTCGACTAAGGCACAACGGCTGTGTAAAAGACAGCATCTAAAGGTTAGTTGCATTGTGGCCCTGAGCGGGTTTTTTTAGTTTCACCAATAGATGAGGGAATTGCTGCGTCCCGTCTTTGTGTCCTCACCCAGAATGATGGCAATGACCAGTGCAGATGAGTTTGCTGGTAGTGATTTTTACACTTTGTTGCCAAGTCATTGTTTGACCTCAGCGGGTCTGCCAGAACAAACTATTCACTGGATCCGACCGACATAACAATGAGGTCTAAGCATGCGTCACTTTCCTGCGACATGGTCTAGATTGCCGGATCAAGTTTTAACCAAATTTGTTGCTGTCAGAGTGAGAATATCTCAACTTTTGAGTGGTATCGAGGAAAATACCTGTTAGAAATGTGGAACCATGACCTGACCACAACCGGCTGTTCTCACCTGGTTCAGACCCCTACTATATTTTGAATGTAGCTACATTTTGTTCTGCAACCTGCGTTTTGGGAGCAGCCAGTTATTTGCTCAGACGGGCATTCAAGTGTTGCAGAAGCAGTTTTCTCAAAAATAACCAGGTTCTCTAAATAGGGGTACACAGAAACTGAGATGTACGATCTTTGAAATCATGCGAGTGTTAGTTCTGTTATGCAAAACTGGATAATATGTTTGGTTCGGACGTTCTGTCTTGATGTCCTCAGTGAGTCCACTCATGAGATTTAGATCTCAAATTGCGCACACATACCCATCCCTGGTCGCACAGACTTTCAACAAAAAATAAAATCCTAGCAAGCCACGCATTACTTCGAATATCAAATAAAGCATATTACCCCTCAACAGATCGCCGCTAACAAGACACCCACAGTAAAATTCGTACAATTTCCCAATAAAAATGACTTTCCCTGTTGCTTAGTGGGTTCATGTATCGACTTTGCCTGCAGCATTTTCTACCCTTTTCCTTCCTAAATTTCACCAGAGGTTGCTGGATTCAAAGACGGCCACCCACACATTCAATCCATTTTTGCTTATTTTCGAAGTGAAGTGAACTTTTCAAGTATAATTCGTTTTTTTCCTGAATCCCGCTGAGGTCTAACCCCGGAAGACTCATAAGCTTAGGGTCAAAGTTGTGTTTTGGGTCTCGAACTTTTCCATATAGAAACCTAGTAACGCTTTTATCAAGACGAAATTCTCAAGGTGACCGGAGTATTCCGACAGAAGCCTGAAGTTTACAGTCCCAAGGAGGTGATCAATACCTCAAGTTTTATTCCACAGCGAGACATTTAGGAACATTCTGGGACAGCTTAACTTTGTATGTAATCATGTTTAGAATCCTTTTGGACCATCTTGTGTATTTAATGGAGAAATTCCGCAAAAATGCTAATTCGTTCTAATTCGAACACATACGTAAAGATGAAATCAATGCTAACATGACTGAAATGAGTAGATGAAATTTATACCATCGGGTAACCAGAAGGATTGGGTTAACAAATAAAAGCTTTCCTCATCGATTTGACACACTTTATTGTCTTTTATCGCTTATTTTACTACGACAGCAGAGCGTGAACATATCTCAAAGAGGTTAGTCAATAAACTAAGATCCCCTACTAAACCGACATAGAGGACAACCTACCTGCTCACATTTGCAGGTGAAATCGTTCATATGAAATCCATAGCTTTCACAGGACCCAGGAATGGCTGCGTCGATTGATCTACACGGACGCCGACCACATGGATTTGGACAGAGAATCTTTAATGCAAGAAACATAAATCTATCAAGCTTTTACATAGGAAGGATATTCATTTTAATGCACACTATGCCCTGCCAAACGTTCAACTGAAGAACAATAATTTAAAGTAATTCATACTTTCTGAAACGTTCTTCACGCCAATAATTTAGTCGGGTTACAAACCAGGTTAGAATGAAGTCAACTCCTGGATGAAAACGAGCTACAGTACAATAAGTTTGTGCACACAAATAGATGGGACCTTTATTCTTAACCTGATAAATTTTTACCCCATTGATACGAAAGGTCGTGGGCTGTCGAAGAGTTTTCAGCAACCTTGTGAGTAGCTTCCGTCATGAAAATATACTGCGATATCTCGAATATCGTGCCAACTGAAACATGAGGCGGCCTGTGTGCAGCACATTCAGTTGTAAAATATCATAAGCAAGAGATCAAGTTGAGTCACTCGTGGAAACCAAATTGATTTGCAAATTAGTGTATTTCTGGAAAACAGCCCAATTCGGGTTCAAGCAGAACATAAGGTTGACGAAAACTCGGGGACTGCGCCTACCTGATGAGCCCCAAGACGGACGAAAACCGGTCGTGGCTACAGAAGAGTTTTCAGCAACCTTGTGAGTAGCTTCCTCTAGCAAAAAGTTCCTTTCTTATTGTGACCTCAGTTCTAAAGTAACGACTAAAATGGCATGTTTGTTGTGTGTGATCTCTACGTTTCTCATTGTTGTGGTCGCTTCCCAAGGGTTTTTAGCAGTAAATGGACTCCAGCTAGCAGACCATGTACACTGAAGTCGGTTTTGCCGCCACAATTTCGAGCGTTTCAAAAAATGGTCCATTTTGAACAAGAGCTTAAAACCCCAGTATGCCTCTCCACCTAGATCTGAAATAAAGTATTAGTCAGCAATATATCTGCGGCAAGAAAATCCTAAAAGAAGAGGCAGTTTCTATTCTACTTGATCCAACGTAAACAAAATGATGTAGTTGCCTGCTTGATGTGGTCTATCCTCTCAATGTAGCATGGTTTGAACCTACGATGGATTTATGCAATAGAAACAGAGACTACTGGATCCTATCAAACTCATATGAATGGTAAGGCGTATATAGTCGTGGAAAGCCTTGCTCGCACTAGAGTTTCTCACTTACACCGCCTAAGCGCTATTTTAAACGGTCTCAAAGCTCAATTCTATGTCCACCTGACTCAAGTAGAACAAAGATAATCGGTTTGAAAGGTTTCTCAGAGTAACGCGTACTAACAGAACCTACACTTAGGCAAAACAGATATGGGGTTTTGTTTCTATGCGATACTATTAATGTACAAAACTGACATCAATGGTACACACTCGTCGACAGCAAATGGTCCAGTTGGATTACAACGTTACAAACAATGTGGGTGAAACAGCGCTTGAGGTGGTCACGGGTACACGCAGATGGCCATAAAAGATGTGGTGGCCTCAAGGTCAAATGAGCAAAGTGAGTCAAACAAACAAATACCGGTTTGTGTAACCGCTGAACACATAATTAGAATGGGAACCACAAACAGGAGTGGTGACACGTGAAGAATTTACAATAATTGAGCAAAGACTGATACATCACCTGTACGATTCTTCATGTTGAATCCGTGGTTGGCGCGATTGCCGTGCTCTACCCGAGCCCAGCTTCCTTCTGAAGCGCTCCGTCAACCCCAACAAAAACGATCCGAGCTCAGTGCTCTCAGAATAAAGTACAAATCTATTCTATTCCGTCCAGTAAACATACCTGCCGAATATTCTTCCTGAGAACACTGCCGGCCGTCCTAAAACGTAAGGTCCAACCCCAACACGATCCGAGCTCAGTGCTCTCAGAATAAAGTACACGCCTGTTCTATTCCGTCCAGTAAACATACCTGCCGAATATTCTTCCTTCCAACACTGCCGGCCGTCCTAAAACGTAAGGTCCGCCCCAGGCCATCTGGGTCCACCTCACAGACGCGTGTTGCAGGAGAATTTCACATTGGCGGCAAACCTCTTGAAGTGTTGAATCCAACTTGGCACCGTAGTATTCCTCTACTAATTTGCTTACTCCGACCGAGTATTTTCGATCACATGTTTTGCTCCATTCACCTTATTCCGTCCGACAATGGTATGTTGGCATGCAGTGTGTGTGTCACTGACCTACTTAACCACGCGTGCTCGTGCCCCATTAGCTGCGCCTGCTCTGACCTGCCCTGTCTTGATTTCCGAGTAATCTCAACCTCAATCAGAATCACGAGACTGATCAACTCAGTAAAGATCGCAGTCCACATTACCGAGTCAACATTCCGTTCGCCGGTTTTCGGCTCGCGGGCGCTGCGCTATGCCGGTCAGTGACAGACTTGCGCACACGTCGATTACACACCCGTGGCCAATTGAGGTTTGGCTTACGTTAGTACCGCAGACTTCCGACTCGATTCTTCCTTTTGATATTCGGAATCGCCAAACCTACACGTGACTCTAATTTCTGTTTCGGGAACCGCAACTCGGAGGGAGTTGCTAAGGTCGGTGATATCTGACAGCAGTGGAGCTAGAGACGATTATTCAAAGGTCGTTCGGATTTAATAAATGTTGTACCAAGTCGCTCACCAGTCAATCAGTCTGAAACGAAGGAATGCGCTGTACTGGCCTAATAATGCGTTCTCACATGGCAGGACTGTAGACGGCTGCTAGTTAGTTAAAGTGCCACCGTATCTCAGAGGTTAAATGTCGGCTCAATATTTCACTACGACTCATTCGTTTCCTAGTATCTCAAAGTTCCGACAGCCCTCCAGTAACACTTGTTGTAACTGTGGGCATCGGCTGAGTTTCCCCTTCTGCTAACAGGTCGCATGAAGCACCACTTTTTCTGTGGGCACCCCCACACTTAGTATCAAGCTGCCCGAATCACTTCATTCTCCCTAACTTAAAGGGATACCAGCCCGTTTCTTAATAACACGGTTTCAACAGCTTTCAAAGCACATTGAAGCCAACAATCATTTTTGAAAATTACTGTTACATCCAACATCAACATAAATGAGTGCGTCTCAGGTCAAGGAAAATGCCTTTTGGCTTCAAAGAAATGCTGTTGAAGCATTAATTAATATTTCAAGGACTATTTTTTCACCACCATCATCTTCATCACTGGCAGCAACAATATAAGATAACACTGGTGCTCCACTGCCATACTGCCATGTCAATTTATTTGAATAAATCCTTGTAATGGAAACGAGAAAGAAATGGGGTGGGAAGGGGAACGTAGGGCTAGCTTACAACGAACATCCGAGCAATTCACACTTCCTACACTCAGCCGGACAATCTAGATAGAAACTGGTGGCATGAACGCCACGTACATCGGTCACCCGCCATATCACTCAGCCAAGCACAGAGAGGGGCAGTGGGTGAAACAGCGCTTGAGGTGGTCACGGGTACACGCAGATGGCCATAAAAGGTGTAGTGGCCTCAAGGTCAAATGAGCAAAGTGAGTCAAACAAACAAATACCGGTTTGTGTAACCGCTGAACACATAATTAGAATGGGAACCACAAACAGGAGTGGTGACACGTGAAGAATTTACAATAATTGAGCAAAGACTGATACATCACCTGTACGATTCTTCATGTTGAATCCGTGGTTGGCGCGATTGCCGTGCTCTACCCGAGCCCAGCTTCCTTCTGAAGCGCTCCGTCAACCCCAACAAAAACGATCCGAGCTCAGTGCTCTCAGAATAAAGTACACGCCTGTTCTATTCCGCCCAGTAAACACACCTGCCGAATATTCTTCCTGAGAACACTGCCGGCCGTCCTAAAACGTAAGGTCCGCCCCAGGCCATCTGGGTCCACCTCACAGACGCGTGTTGCAGGAGAATTTCACATTGGCGGCAAACCTCTTGAAGTGTTGAATCCAACTTGGCACCGTAGTATTCCTCTACTAATTTGCTTACTCCGACCGAGTATTTTCGATCACATGTTTTGCTCCATTCACCTTATTCCGTCCGACAATGGTATGTTGGCATGCAGTGTGTGTGTCACTGACCTACTTAACCACGCGTGCTCGTGCCCCATTAGCTGCGCCTGCTCTGACCTGCCCTATCTTGATTTCCGAGTAATCTCAACCTCAATCAGAATCACGAGACTGATCAACTCAGTAAAGATCGCAGTCCACATTACCGAGTCAACATTCTGTTCGCCGGTTTTCGGCTCGCTGGCGCTGCGCTATGCCGGTCAGTGACAGACTTGCGCACACGTCGATTACCTATTCATTTGCTTACTCCGACCGAGTATTTTCGACCACATGTTTTGCTCCATTCACCTTGCTCCGTCCGACGATGGTATGTTGGCATGCTGTGCGTGTGTCACTAACCTACTTAACCATGCGTGCTCGTGCCCCATTAGCTGCGCCTGCTCTGACCTGCCCTGTCTTGATTTCCGAGTAACCTCAACCTCAATCAGAATCACGAGACCGATCAACTCAGTAAAGATCGCAGTCCACATTACCGAGTCAACATTCGGTTCGCCGGTTTTCGGCTCGCGGGCGCTGCGCTATGCCGGTCGGTGACAGACTTGCGCACACGTCGATTCCACACTCGTGGCCAATTGAGGTTTGGCTTACGTTAGTACCGCAGACTTCCGACTCGATTCTTCCTTTTGATATTCGGAATCGCCAAACCTACACGTGACTCTAATTTCTGTTTCGGGAACCGCAACTCGGAGGGAGTTGCTAAGGTCGGTGATATCTGACAGCAGTGGAGCTAGAGACGATTATTCAAAGGTCGTTCGGATTTAATAAATGTTGTACCAAGTCGCTCACCAGTCAATCAGTCTGAAACGAAGGAATGCGCTGTACTGGCCTAATAATGCGTTCTCACATGGCAGGACTGTAGACGGCTGCTAGTTAGTTAAAGTGCCACCGTATCTCAGAGGTTTAATGTCGGTTCAATATTTCACTACGACTCATTCGTTTCCTAGTATCTCAAAGTTCCGACAGCCCTCCAGTAACACTTGTTGTAACTGTGGGCATCGGCTGAGTTTCCCCTTCTGCTAACAGGTCGCATGAAGCACCACTTTTTCTGTGGGCACCCCCACACTTAGTATCAAGCTGCCCGAATCACTTCATTCTCCCTAACTTAAAGGGATACCAGCCCGTTTCTTAATAACACGGTTTCAACAGCTTTCAAAGCACATTGAAGCCAACAATCATTTTTGAAAATTACTGTTACATCCAACATCAACATAAATGAGTGCGTCTCAGGTCAAGGAAAATGCCTTTTGGCTTCAAAGAAATGCTGTTGAAGCATTAATTAATATTTCAAGGACTATTTTTTCACCACCATCATCTTCATCACTGGCAGCAACAATATAAGATAACACTGGTGCTCCACTGCCATACTGCCATGTCAATTTATTTGAATAAATCCTTGTAATGGAAACGAGAAAGAAATGGGGTGGGAAGGGGAACGTAGGGCTAGCTTACAACGAACATCCGAGCAATTCACACTTCCTACACTCAGCCGGACAATCTAGATAGAAACTGGTGGCATGAACGCCACGTACATCGGTCACCCGCCATATCACACAGCCAAGCACAGAGAGGGTCACGTGGACCCCACCCTGTACGGCGAGCAGCACATTGCGGGCTCGTTAGTGGGGTTCGGCAGCACTTCATCGAGTAGTGATGGATAAACTCTTCCGTCCTCACACTACACAGGTACAAAGTTCACCAAGCAAACAAGACCATCACTACAGATCGGATTCCAAACTTATTCGCTGGATGGTAGAAAACTTTGTAATGGAATTCACCAAAGCCGTTCCCAAGACATGATGGTAAATTAACTTGCTTCGCTGTCCTTGTCACCTGTTTTGGCGCGGTGAATGGAACAAACAGTTCGTACAGTAAGGTGCTTTTGACCATGTTATCGCGACCGAACTTTGCGGCAATGTGGGGTTTGTGATGAAATCATGACTCATAGTCATGTAGTGATGTGCCACTGTGAGCCTTCCATCCCAGAGATGGACAACAAAATAGTTTGGATTCATGTGCGGTACATAGGTGGTGTATACCAATATATACCATACTGAACAAGTGTAAATGAGATTTGAGGACTGGAGACCAAACATCATGGAAGGAAAGGTCATTCTTGAACAAGACTAGGTTGTATTCTAAAGGGCCAATCTACACTGAAACTCAAATGCTACTAAAAACGCAAGTGAAACCACTGGTCATCAGACTAGGACCATGGGGTGACAACTTTAGATCAGCTCTCAGGATCAGCGAATTGAGCAAGATAGCATGCAACCCAGGCGGCCGAGGTCTATGTGACCGTAGACTGTGTGCACGCTCCTCATCTTATGAAACTTCCAGACAGCCAGGCTTGTTTGATGCTGAAGCTGTTGGTATTCACTCACAGATAATTTATGGATGATATCATACCAGAACTCCCGGAGGTCACTATCGTCATAATTAACGAACTATTTAATTTTGTGATCAACACGGATGTGCAGAAGACACAATTGCGACTCACCGTTCCGTTGGAACTGCTGTACGTACACTAATGTGGGTACGATCCACTAGTGCTTCAACTGATGTGAACAGGATACCTGGGTGATTCAACTTGGTTGATCTTTTACCATATTTTCAGGCTACATCCCCTAAGTCAATCTGGCAGCTACGTTTTACGCGTTCCTTTGTGGTTCACTAGCAAAGACAGGTACCTCGGCACTAACGGCTCCTTTGGCTCCTTTGTAGCAAAGACAGGTACCTCGGCACTAACGGGTAGACAACTATCCGGAAGAACACGATTTCAGGTTCGAACTGTTAGACAGCCGTTCAGGAAAGGTTGGGTAAAAATCGTTGGATTTTGTCACTGCTCAGCAACAATTGAAATGACGACTTTGCTATTGACTCACCTCTAAATGTAAACCCTCCGCATTCTCTGGTTTGAACATGTGACACACGTGATAAATGTAGATCAGGCTCATCTGATCGATCGAAGTGAACGGATAACAGGAACCTTGTGTAATCGGTACTGGATAACAGTCCTTCTCGACATATTGTCTGTGATCTTTGATAAGAATATCCAGCAACTCCTCTCTATAGCCATTTGGCTGATAGAGCGCAACGAAAAGATGCCAGGAACAGCGTGGCAGTTCAGGTTCGTTGCAACTCTGAATCATCGCGTTATAGTCCAGAGTAACTAGACGGACATTGTGAGATTGTAGATACATATCTGTTTATAACAGAAAACAAAACGGAATAAACTGAAGTACAAGTTCACCCAATGAAAATACCTGAATTCTGAAGAGTACACTTCAATTTCAATGAAGAAATTTTGGTCGCAGTATAGTCTTTTAAGAAACCGCTGATAGTTTTTTCAAGTAGATCAGTGATACTGATAATGATCATTCAGATGTAACGAGCACTCTTCTAATGCCCAGAAGCCGCACCATCCTAAGGGAGCACGAGGGCTGAAATACTGCCAGGTTTCCCAAGTCAAGGTCAGAACAATCAAGATACATAGGTTGGGTTCGAACCCCAGATCATTCAGTCAGCGACTTCGCGACTTACTCAGTGGTTTATCAAGAGCACTTCAAGTAGAATAGTTGCTGCCAGGTTTCCCAAGTCAAGGTAAGAGCAATCAAGATGCATAGGTCGGGTTCGAACCCCAGATCGTTCAGTCAGCGACTTCGCGCCTTACTCAGTGATTTATCAAGAGCACTTCAAGTAGAATAGTTAACTGTCTTTTTTAGACTGAAAGTTTGGTTAATACATTGAATCATACATCAATATGACAACCCAAATGACAGGTGTAATTTAGACGTTCAAACCAAACAAGAACTAGCAAGTTCGTGTGCCGAGATGTTAGCGTGCATGCTGTTTGTGAGGATTAGGAATGGCCGTAAATGTGGTGCTCCCCAGTCTAACGAACCGTCAGCTCAAATACCAGCGTGCTAAGCAGTCACAGGTTTTAAGCTTCTCCTTCACTCTAATGTAACTACTTCTCTGGCACTATGAACTATTGAATGTACTGACTGCCGTAGCCGTTACAGGCGAGGGGGCTCATGGTGAGAAGCAGTGACATCGCTAGTCCTCTGATATGATATTGGATCGATTTGGATCGAATTCTAACCTCAAGATTCCAGGAAGATACAAACGCACCTTGCCACATCAGAGATAACCTGGATGATCTCAGGCAGTGGAAGATTGTGGATCAGTATGACAACATGAGCTTGAATAACAAGGATAGGTTGTTGGTGTTGACTTCATCCACGCTAATCTACTAGTTCAGTTGCATTTGTGATATATTCTGTGTTGGTTGAATGACCTGTCAGCTTCCCGTGTGTATCCATGAACGCTGACCTAACTGCCTACCTTAAAGTGGTATGTGATCACTCGGAAGCCATACAGAAGACGGTCTTCGGCCTACAAAAATGTTCAGATAATCGCGCCACTGTAAAGTCCGTTTGGTGCTTAGCTGCCGTACAACCCGAAGAAAGCACGAGGGTTGTAATATTATCAGGCTGTCCAGGTCTTGGCAGGAGCCGTCAAAATGTTGAAGTTGGGTTCGTACCACACCAGCATTAGTGTTGTTGAAGCCTCTGCCTCCAAGCCATCGAAGGCATTTCAGTATTTCAAGAATTGTAGTTTTCAAGCTTGATTTCAACAACGTGCATGGTTCGTGCCAAGTTACGAAGCGTTGAACACAAGCAGCAGTGCGCGAGTCGCGCAGGTTGTAAGTTTTCAATAGTCATTCGGGGAAAAACATGGTGGCGGTACATGTTTCATTAAGACAGGGATTACTTATCGCGGGGATAAACAAACACTGTATCTTTGGATATTTCTACGTAGGTAGATATCGGAGAAACGAGGATAGAAGTTGACATGGGACAGGAAGAAGCGTCTCTGTTTAATTTACCAACATCATTGCTTGACCTGAGCCTACCATCAGAAAGTTGCCTCAGCACAACTCAGAACGATTGCAAACTGAATCGCATTCAGACGTCCATTGTCAGCCTTGTTAAAGGGGGATGTTTCACTCGGTTTCTTTGACCGCTCTAACGAGGGTTCTTCTTTGGTCGCTGAAGAGGACCTCGCTTAAGTGGTGGAAATTTTTTCAGTTTCACTGAGCATGGCTTCATCTGAATATTGAGCCTCAAAATAAAAACTGAACTAATCTCTTAAATGATCACAAAATACAATGGAATAAGAACAACTTGACATCACGAGTCGGTTTGGGTGGTGGCCTTTCGGGTTTGGTGGAAAACACACTTCCGTGGTGCAGACTTGGAGGAACCGTATGAGCCAAGCAATTTCTCTTATCATAGATTTTGGGAACCTGAAGCCACCGACGAGACAGTGGTAGTTGAGATTACATGACTGAAATAGACTCCTTTTAAGGACACCAAACTCTACCTAAGGTCCTCTCAGACCTTAACCAGAGGAAACTTGTTGATTGCCTGTTGTATAACTTCCAGGATAGCTTGTATGAGTTGCTGAAATACACAAACCGTTGCGCTAGATTGAGGTATAGTTTCTCTGTCAAAAGATCACCACAGTCTGACTACTGGTCATGGCATGGAATCCTAGCTCATAAAACGTAAAACGAATACTTCTAACCCTAATTAGTGAAAAAAATTAGTAGACGAACATGTTTATTCCCAAGATGGCTTTGACTTGGTTTCATGGTTCCCCAAAAGTGAAAAGCAGGTAAAGGTGGTTCATGTGTAAGCATTCGACGTTCGTGGACTGAAGATAATGGACAGATAATGTGTGAGTTGCTTCACCTGTAGTGCAACTTGTGATGTCACGGTATTTCATGATTTGGTGGCCTTTGTTCTGTCCACTGAACTTGGCGATTAGAAAACATCCCTCACATTTTATTGAATTTTGTGCGAATTCTTCTACACGTCTATACGGTTGCTTTTACTGCGCTCATGGCATCGAAGGGCCTGTTTCAGCTACTTGGCACCACATCTACACAGGTGTGTAGAAGTCTGTCGCTCAAACAACGTGCTCGTTAATTAGCAGGTAGGATCGATGCACCATCATGATGAAATAGAGTTTCACTGACTTTCTGTCCATATAAAGGTGGAAAGATTTGATCATCCAGTAAGCACACTCACTATGAATTTTCGGTCTAGTATGATCAGAGGATGCATACCTGTCGCGGAGACGTTGCCATAAGTGCAAAGGTACTGGAAACATGTTAACCTTCGCTCTCAAGACGGTTCACAGGTAATCTGGGTCCAACGGACGGTCCATAGTACACTTTCACTTACAACTAAACTTTATCTTCCCTTATGTTCAACTTGAGCTCAAATGATTGTGTGCCGCACGTAATTCTCACTGTTCTCCTGTGTATCGTGTGTGGATGACCTTGCAGCATGTGCACGATACTCAAATGCATGGTGATGAATCTATCGCTACACGGGATGCTTGTTACTCGGCTATGTACAGACTTCCCCATAACCTTATCCAAATGAGCAGACCATGGGAATTGTTCACCAACACAATCGACCAATCAACTTTCGTTGCACTGTATGCTTATCCGGTATCCTGTACCCCTCTGAAAATACATACCACCTCTACTCACCAATGAGAGCAGCTGTCCTTCAGTTGTGATAAACAATTTTTTTTGGCTAATATTTTGACCAAAACGCACCAGTGAGTTCTCATCAAGATCGAAAACCCGTCGAGTGTTGCTTTGAGATATTAGCACTTGAGTCCACTGATATGTCCAGTTGGGGCGAAGGGCTTTGGAATATAGGCACCTCAGTATGATTGTGATAAACTAGCCCCAGGTGGTTTTCCTGCCAGATTATCTTTTCCCACCTCAACGGTAATTCACTGAACTTTGTGGTCTCACGACGGTGGAGCATCAGTATCAATTTAGACGTTACTGCTTATGATAACGGTGATGAGCACAGCTCAAAGTCGGAATCAAACAGCTTCGCGAGATAATTCTTAGCAAGTAGCACGAAGCTTAAGGAGAGCTGCGAGGACTATGGCTTTAGTAGTTGTAGGTGGCTGCGAAATTTGTAGAATTCACATCATTCCCACTTGAACAGTCCTCCTTCTGCCTTGGTGCAATCGATCTGGTGAGTATACACCAAAAGGTAGGAAGCACTGGAGTTCCGCTCTTATTCGAGCTCATTAGCAGTGCATGTTCTTGTCCTTGAACCCCGGACAACTGAGATGCGAGACGAGCGCGTGAGCACCTAGCCATTACTCCACTAGCAAACACAGGACACAACTGAATTATAACGTCTTAAAAGGACTTATTCACGTTCCGATAATGTGATTAGTTTACTCAATGCCAAGGATATTCACCGCCGATGAGCTTTTATAGTAATAAGCTTTATTAAACTCCACTCCCTCTCATTTGACACAGTACAAGGGAGTACTGCTCAAAGGGGAGTAGTTGTTTACAGGTTTGAGGGCTAGCTCACTTGGGCCAACAATACCGAGAACAGCTGACTTCAGGATCTCATTTTCATCTGCCACAAACGCGTTCACCGAATTCTAAGTCTTAAATGAATGGGCCTGAAGAAAATCATAAAAGGGAGCCTTAACGGCGTTTCATTATACACCTGTATCTGTTAAAGGTAGTAATGTGGCATTTAAATACTTGTTCGCATAGCCTCATTTTGTTGTGGATAAGATTTTCTTGGAACTGGTCTGGATGCTAGGTAGTATAGGGGACACCAGCACTGCCACTAAAAATCAAATCACGAGTTGCACATCATCTCATTATGTATACAGACGAGAAAAAACGGAACGAAAAAACGAAACCCCTAGATTTTATACCATCAAGTTATCACTATACCATACGTAATCTGAACAGAAACAAAAAACAACTCACAATTTGCGTGAGTCTCCCATCTGAGAAGCAACTCGAACAGCCAGTGAACAGGTAATGTTAACCGTGCGAATGGTACCATATTCTGTTGAATATAAATTAGTGAGACTACTGCTCAGTTACTCACGAAAGAGCGATACAGACTTCGACTAGTGGCCGGGGATCACGGATTCGAATCCCCTAGACTGAAGACATATGTACTGCTGCTATTGAGGAAATAGCGAACAGACTTCGACTAGTGGCCGGGGATCACGGATTCGAATCCCGTAGACTGAAGACATATGTACTGCTGCTATTGAGCATGGATTGTTCTCACTGTTAAAACCCCCTCACAATGCGATCCGAAACCTGATAAATCAAAATCACGTTGCTAGATTGTTCGACCAAATGTTGGAGGTGTAAGCACCTCTGATATTTGTGGTAGGCCAGCCTTAGGTCTCCCCTTCCTCCGCTTTTCTTTCTTCCTTCCCTTCATTACTGAAGTAAATTGCACAGCAGTGAAGCCCCATTATTCGCTCTTGATGTTGATGTCATTGATGACATTGCATTATCGTAGAGCCACCTGAACTTCGAGCTTTCAATAGAGTTTTGCTCAATGAAGTCAAATTGCATTAGGCGAACATGTATGAAAAAGAAAGATACAGGTAACCTTATAAATAATTCACGTATTGCTGGCTAAAGGTAGTGACCTTGTTCTGCATGGAATATCTGTCACCTTACCTTCCACAGACCCGAAACACCACAGATGGAACCACATTGTAATAGGAATGATTGAACTGCCGTATATTCCTGGTGGGAATCCATATTTGTATGAACGATATGCTGGGTTTTCCATTCGGTCAAACCATCTGAAGCCGAATGCATGCCACCGTGAATCCGGTTTGTAGAACTTGCGCTCTAACATGTTCTCCAAGTCATCAAAACCAACCCCACCACCACCGTACGGTTGACATAACAGGAGACTCACAACGAGCCAAACAGCGTGCATTTTGCCCTGGGCTGCAGCAAGCTACCTCCACTTCGCCTGTCCCAAAATCCCACTGAGAGTATTGACCAAAATTATCGATCACCGTTCGATTGATGCAGTCAAATCACCTGATGTCGGCAGTGGGCCATCTATATTACACGTCATTTGTCGATATTTACTATCCTTCCTAATTTTAAGATTGACGACTTACCTAGATCAGAATGGTTGAAATTTCTTCACTCCAGCGAGCACTGTGAACTCAGTAAAACGGATTTCGATCAGAATCAAAGCAATTCCCATCGTAGGTTTGAAGAGCAAGACACGCTTTTAGAGCATAGCGGACATTTGGCTGTTGACCAGGTGGTAATTGATCTTTTCACCCGGTTTGACAATTGGCTTGCAAACGTTTCGACACCATGCGAGTTGACACCCTTCCGACCACACACTGACGACGTCACCTCGCGTGGTAACAAAACGTTTGCAAGCAAACTGTCAAACTCGAAGAACAGATCAACAGACAATTGACCCACTTGAGCCACTAATATTCAGACACAATGCCTATGGCCAATATTTACCTCGCTTGATTGAGTCAGAGCACTGAAACCGTACGAGGGTAAGTGTGATGCAAGTACGAGTCGACTAGGCGGCAGATCTATTCTCTAAGGTACGCCAGCCAAATAACGTGACGTGCGTTGATCGGCGACCCCCAGTGACAACCGTGTGTATGGTGTCCTCTTTGGTCCACGCATAGTCACTTGCAGTAGTAGTGCGATTATCCCATCGGAGACTGTCAACTGTTACCAACGTCTTCACAGCTTCTGAAAACGGATAGCCAAATAACGTGACGTGCGTTGATCGGCGACCCCCAGTGACAACCGTGTGTATGGTGTCCTCTTTGGTCCACGCATAGTCACTTGCAGTAGTAGTGCGATTATCCCATCGGAGACTGTCAACTGTTACCAACGTCTTCACAGCTTCTGAAAACGGATGCGGATGGAATCAATCTAACAACCAAACTTCTAAAGCCCGCACATCTCAAAATGTCACGGTAGATCAACAGACCGCATGAGATACCAGTGTCTGATGCATTTTAGTCGGGGGTTGTCTTCATTCGAAAGAACACAGCTTATCTTAGACTTTACAATGAGGGCTTGACTGAAGAATGTGGGCTTCAGAATAGATCTCATATCTAAAAATCCTAACAAAAACACAACGATAAATTCAACTAGATTATAGACTGACAGCAAATCGAATGATATTACTGTCGCCGCAAGATAGTAAACTACCCATATAAGACACGATCCTTGCCAGTCATTATCAGAGAAGATAAAACTGCTCATAATTCACGGGTGAATTACAAAAGTCAGAACCTGGGCAAACAAACTTAACGTAGAACACCTCTTGGGACTCGTTTCGCCGATAGCTGAGACCATTACCATTGGCAAGTGACGATCCGCAGCAAACCTTTACGTAGAAATACTTCCGACCTGCGTTCCTTGACTTAAAGCTGAGCGCCAAAAGGTTCCTTACCTTCATCGCCAGTTAGGAAATTCTGTAAGGTCAACGGTGGAAACTGTTCGCTGTACGATTGCCATGAAACTGATCGATTTTTGGAACCGAACAGAGCACCTCATCCATGCTGCAGACTATACTGAAACACTACTTTGTTCAGATGAAATTCATCTCGTAAAAGATTATTCTCCGGTCGTACTCAGACCGATCACTGACCGCACTTTGAAGACACAACACTGTTGTAACCAAGGTAAATTGTTTTGAATGTATGTGAACAACTTCGAGGGGAGGACCACCCAACTGCGAGTGATAGTTCTTCGAATAAAAGTGACAAACTTGTGCTTCCGAAAACTACCCGGAAAAACGTTCCCCCAAGGGCCTGTGCAGTCTCGAGGTCAGCCTAAGAGTTCGAGGAGACTAATTAAACGACACATACTACTTGGTTCCATCTGAACGGAGGGCGCCGAATAAAATTATGATGGACTCGTATCACTTCCTCAGCTTCCATCAACTAATTTCTGGTGTTATTCTAAGCATTTTATAGTACATACCGCCAGTTAGTTCACCGATCAATCTGAAAACAGATGTGGTATTTGTTCAAGGTTGGAAAAATTTGCCCCAGCAGATCACTGCGTTCAAAGAATCATTGACTGGTATTTCCACTGATGTGTCATACTTTTGTATCCTCAGGCGCGTCACCGTCTTTTTTCCATAAGCGACTGCTGTTGCAAAGAATATGCTCTTTCTGCCACTCGAAACAATCCCAGAAAAGTTCATAACCCCAAACTACGTTCACCTATATCTACAGCTACAGTAGTGGATGGATACTTCAGCTGTAGCACCCTTCCGGTGCCCAACTGTCATGCCACCAGAAGGAAACACAAGAGCTGGCATACTACCAGGTTGCCCAAGCCTACACAGAGGAAGTAGAGAGGGAGAGGTCGGTTTCGAACCACGGACCTTCCGATCAGTGGATTCGCGCTCTAACCACTTGGGCCATCTTGCCCCCATGGGGAGTGTTCACCAAAAGACATGTCTGATTCTACGTTCCAGCGGGGCAGATTGGAGGGAGATTGCTGCAATCGACCATAATCCAGCTTCCTCAAGACAACTCGATTGACTTTGTCACCTGAGCAAATCAGTTTAAGCCTGGAGCTTTGTTCTTAAAATTGCCCTGAGGGGACGGGCATCATATGCGAAAAGTGCAGTCTGTGACAAAGGCTGCCTGTAACACTTCAATTGCCCTTCTTTCTCCAATATTCAATGACATGCAGCATATCCGTCTGTATTCCGCACATAACACCGTAACGACCGACAGGTGTTTGACATGGTGCCACCCCACAGAAGTTTACATTCTGCTGAAGTCAATAGTGAAATAATCGTGAGAAAAAGATTATATTTTACAATACATTGTAATCGGCGCAATAACCATTGTTAAGGCAAAATAACCCAAGGCTACTCGTTATTAGCAGCTATCTCCGCAGGGAAGCGTATGTCATGCTTGAGCAGTAAAGCATAGACGGCATCTCGTTGCATATTCCAGGAGTTATTCGATTTGTACGTTCATCAAAATAGCGGGCAAAACTTCCAGCATAGAATACCAACTTTTGGTGGGCTTACGATGTAAGAGGAAGTCACAACAAAGCGATAATCTGAAGGATAGATCTATTTCAGCGTTCACTAATTTTATGTAACCTTGTAAATAGGCTGGCTGGTTCTCAAGAGATTCAGACTAGCTGTTGTAGCTTCTACAGAACTGTTATTCAACCGGTTTGGGGGAGTGATACGGTGATGCAGGCGTGATTGTCTGAGCGCAAGCGATACAATAGAACATCGATCAATATAGCTGAGCTAATTACGACGTGGAAGTAATAGGAAAATAGCATACGTTGCCTGATCACATGATCACCACATAACACTAGCATAGTTCATCATCGACAGCTCATCAGTGTTAAAAACGGTCCTGTTTGAACAAAAGAGTTCTGAAGACCGTCCAGCGTTCTTTTCATTATCTCATCGATAACTGAGTGCAAATAGAGAGGAAGCAAGTTCTTGTGGATAGAACTACTGGACTGAACATGGTATTCTGCGGACCAGAATCACTGAGGTTAATTTAGTGGGAACATTTTGTTGTTGGAGATTACCTGACTAACCAAAATTGTCTACCTGGGCCCTCGAAAGACAGCGGTGTGGTTTCAGCTCCAGCCCATAACACGGGACGTCAGAGACTACAGATTAAACTGACGCAAATGTATACTGGTAGAAACGAACAGGATGAAAACACCTCGGATGGTTCGACCGCATACCCCATCTCACCATCCGTTCCCACAGCCGCCAGCCGCCCGCCAAGAAAAAGTAAACTGAGTATGAAAATGAAGATCACTTTAAAGTTGACAAACGAGTAGTCTTTTTACATTTTTACACATGAAAACATGAGTAGAATCCATCAGGATGGTTGGACTGAAGCGGCACTTTCGACTGACATACGCTCGGTGATAAACGGGTGTTGAAGGGCCTCGTTCAGGGGTAGTCGACGCGCAGGATCCAGCACAAGCATCTTTTCCAGTAGGTCCTTAAATTGAGTGACTTTTCGAAGGATCGGCTCACTCATTTTTGTGTCCGCCGAAAGCTCCGTCATCAAATCACGCGTTGGTTGCAGATTACGGATAACCGTTACCTTTTCCTGAAAAGAATATGGTGGAAGAATGACTACCCGCCCCTAGATAGGAAGGTAAAGGTAAAATACAGCAGAACTATTCTGAAGGGTGAAATTTTAGTTGCTGCCTTTGTCTCTTCCAGATTTTTGCGGGTGGGAGATGATCGTCTTGTGATTCAGGTATCGCACATAGCCATTTGAGGTGGATGTGAGAACGGAGATTCCTTAGGAAATCTAACTGATTGAGCCTCATGCAACGGGTCCCCTGGCAGCTCCAATATTTCGATACCCTAGTGAATAACTCAGAGCGGTTCTGAGTACAGGAATGCAGAATACATAGAGGAGAGTGGATCATTACGTCGAAACCTTATGAATAAACCACATAAATCATTATCGTATGACTCGGCCTTCTATCCTGATCCAATCTTCATGCTAAGACGTCTTAGCATTGTTTATGAGATGTCTCGATAGGATAGCCCGAGAAGAATCATAGTGTCTCGATAGAAATATGGGGATGATCTGATGCTAAGAGTAACCCAGTTGTGACATAGAACTCGTAAAGTTGCACTTCCGGTACATTATGGACTCAAATCAAGTTATTCGCGTAATCCCTAGCAGACTGACCTCACCGTCAGTCCACGTGAAAGGAGGAACTTATCTGCGAACAGCCACCATGTGACTTTAGCGCGATTGACCGCAATTAACCCAACAAAATAGAAAAACAGGTCGGCTTGCAACAAGGTTTGAAAGACGATTTTTCCTGGTCGTCCCAGCTGATGAGATTCCAGTCACATATTCAAGCCTAATGAGTTATATAGGTGCTTTAAACTGCCCTAATTAGGCTTTTTTTAATCGTAAAAAAATCGTCCAGCTGTAGCACCCTTTCGGTGCCTAACTGGCATGCCACCAGGAGCAAGCACGAGGGCTGGGATACTATCAGGTTGCCCAAGCCCAGACAGGGGAAGTCGAGAGGCAGAGGTCGGGTTTGAAGCACAGACCTTCCGGCCAGTAAATTCGCGCTCTACCCACTTGGTCCATCTCGCCCCACCCCACCCCCTCCCGTTTTTTTTGTGATGTTTCCAGGGCGAAACCGTTTGTGGGCTGCCGATGGATTTTAGCAACCTTATGAGTAGTACATCACTTTGACTAACTTTGCCGTCATTCACAACCGTTGCAGCGTATCTAGCTTCTGTCCAGAAAAAAACACCCTTGTTAAATTCTAGGGGTCTGTTGAAAACGGCTTCCTTCGGAGTCCGTACTCTGTGTAAAGTAGGGCAACAAGTAGCTCGAGCTCAGGTCTTGATGTCCCTTTAGATTGATATATGTTGTGTCTGCGAAACACACACAAGACCCCTTTTGGGTTCTACGTCTCATACCGATCCAAATGGACAGAGGTCTCGCACTCTACTACTCCTCGGGTATCTGGCGTCCCCGATGCAATGGCATCTACGGTGTGGGGATTGTGCTCAACCGCACAGCTGACTGGGGTTTGCTGTACCGGGTCCCGGTAAACAGTTATCTTTGCGCTGTTAGGTTGGCTGATTCAATGAAGACCAGTGCTTGTAGTTAGTTGCGCGAGTAGTTGAAGTTGTATCTACACAACCCGTGTTCGAACATCAGCATATGGATGTGATAATAGACGAAAAAATCAGAGGTCCTAATGCGCATTTTTATTCCACCATCCTCATCATCATTGACAACAATACGCAGGCAATACATATTTGTACTTGTGTCCATACCACCCACAAGGCAGTTGACCTGGAGTGAATGCCCTAGCAGTCTTGCATACATTTGGCTGCCCTGGCCGTAAACTAACAAACGCAAAGCCATGATACACTGTCACTGTCAGTCATGTGATACCATCATGCAGGTTGCCTGATTTGGTTCATGTGAGGGGGTACAACAGACAAGCACTCTACTGCTGAAGTTTCCGTTCTCACAAACAGGTATTCCTTCTCCTCAACCCAGCTCATTGATATTGTTCTCACAACAGTCCAAGCAGTGGAAAAGACTATCCCGATAGCCTTACCATTCTTAGTGGTGACTCTGTGCGTCTGTTAACAGTAATGTCCTACGACACCTCGAAACCGTAAACTAAATCTTCAATGTCCAAACTATGAAGCAAGCAGGACAAAAAACGAACTTGTTCGTGAGTTGGATTTTATGTGCAATGACAGATTTTTCAGAAACAACCGCTGCAGCTGGACTGACTGCCCCATAACTTCGTTCAAGATTCCGACTGCGCAAAACCAACTGGGTCTGGATATTCCGGTATCGGTACTGCGCTAAGCCATCTAGTGGGGGTACTCCCATCAGATTCGACACCTGCTGATAACCACTGCTATGCAGCCCGACTGCGAAGTGTGTGAAAGAATTTCAAGAAAGAGAGGTTCATCAATCGTTGGCTATTATGAATGCTTGTGCCAAGGCTGCGAGTCTGCCAAAGACAGGATCTATGATGCTCTGGATGTTATTTTATAAAATCTCAAGAGTTCAGGTATCGTCGTCGTCTTTAGCTTCATAAAAGGCAGTTGGGTAGGTTCAGTGTTGTTGGGCCTAACTGGGCGATGGATTTGGGTCGGAAAAGAGGAATGGGAACAATGAATAACGGCTACAGGAGATTTGTGCTCACAGACTTCTAGAACTGTGACAATCATTTGGCTGTAGGATGGTAGTACACAGCCAAACAGTAATGGAACCATCCAGCACTATGCCAAAACTACCATTGGAGCCTCATTAACTAATCGTGGTTGCCACGGCATGGTAACAAGGGGGTGCGGTGGAAAATGTTTTCCATTTTGTCCACATATGTATATTTGTTTACAATGACGAAGCACTAGGGTTCAGGACATCAGCCGGTACAAAGCTAACAGCAGAGTTCACCACAACTGCAAATACGATAGTCTCACCGAAAACAGGATTTTGCGGGTTTAAGGCTTTAGAGCATCTCGAATGGAGCAATGGCCCTTTGGAAAAGTATCCCTCAAACGACTGAAACAGTTCTAAGGAACTGGAACTCACCCTTTGCGTGACTTTATCAATTTCGTGGTAGAGGAAGTTGCATTGCTCATCGAAGTGCTGCGCTCGAAACATGCCACGCCGAATAACTCGATTAGGCACTCGTCCACGAACCTCCATCATCAACCGAAGCATTTCGTTGTTTGTCTTGCCCGGAAACAAGATATGCCCGGTGTGCAACTCAAAAAGTGTGACAGCGGCTGACCACAAATCCACATTGTAATCATAGGGTACACCTAGGACTGGAGAGAATGATAGATCGTCGAGATTTAGCAGGTGGGGGAAGTGTTCGGCAGACGGGCGGTAGCTAACAGTGGTGCGGAGCTCAGGACAGGGGGCGACAACAAAAAGCAGTATCCCAGCTGCCACCGTGACAGTCTAAAGCAGAAGTTCGCAAATGGAAAACCTAACTGGTGTCGTATCAGACTGGGGGTTATTAGGGTCACGGTGAGTCTATTTTGATGGGCCGAAAAGTGGGCTTTGGAACTGTCGCTCAATTACTGTATTAACTCTCAGTAGGTATTTTTCAGGATAATTAAAATTACTTCAGAAGAACTATCTAATAAGGGTGACTTGTCTGGAGTAAAGTTAGTCACAAGCGAGCTAGATTCCACAGATTTTTTGGAGACATTTTTTCCGATAGGTTAGCTGATTTCGTTTAAGTTATCAGCACCGGCGCATCAATTACGAACCAACTAATGGCATAATCTATCATACAAATAGTTTCGAGGTATTTTCCTCATGTACTGTGCCACTTATAAGGTTAATAAGGCTCGTCGACAACCCGCTACCAACTACCAACTGTAACATAAGTGGAGGCTGGCGCCATCTCAGTTGGCAGATGAGCGCACAAGTCCATCCTATGTCCACTTTGATGTTCAAGGGGGAAATAAGGTATATGGAAATCCTGAAACCGATCAGCCCCAAAAGAGGCAAAACCGCTAAGGGGTTATGGCGAGTTCTACGAAATCCATCATTCAACATGGTCACCTGATTACACACCGGGAACAGGACTCAAACGAGTATACAGCAAAGCGTAATACAAGCACAGTCAATTGAGTAGGTTCATGTGTCTGACATGAGATGCTGGGTTAAATGAGAGTTTGAAAAAAAAACCTCTTGAGGCTTAGTGTGTGTTTGGCGTGACGATCTCCAAAATATTCTAAATGCATCAGGATAAAAAAATGGTCCAGTTGTAGCGCCTTTTTGGTAACTAATTGCTATGTCACCCGAAGGAAGCACTGAGATCGAGATACTGCCAAGTCACCCAAGTCCAGACAGAAGCCGGGGTTGGGTTCGAACCACGGACCTTCCGGGTCAGTACGGTCTCGTCTTAACCACTAAGTCATCTCGAGCACATACGCATCAGTGTCACGCCATGACGTCAAAGCACCCCCAACAATTGAAGCAGAGAACGTGAAACAACTAAACGACTAGGTGCTTGCCACACCTGACCACCAGATAAAGTAAACCAGCGCAAACAATAACAACACTGGTGGAAGGGAACAAATCAATATAAGAGACATTAACATCACGGGTGCATCATAAGCATGATTACCATGGCGATCAGCCGTAGCGGGTGTACCACTCGAGAGCGGCCGGAGCTGATACCGCCGTGCACAACGATGGACGACGTGTTTTCGGTTAGTTCCGTCTCTCGATTCGGGACAAAGACAGTGGTGGTGGTGATGATGCTATTCGGGTGTCAATCGTTGGATGACACGACCCAAGGATAAAAGTGGTAGACAGTAGTTAGTATAAAAATCAGCGAAAGCACTGGATACAGCATAGAATGTGGAACATACGGAAAACGCCACAACACGCGTTTTCAAAAATCAGCATCCACAATTATAGCACATAAAGAGAGACTTACTTATTTCCGGAGCCCGATAAAATCGCGAGACGAGATAAGGTGTAATTTCATTATCTTGAATGGTTGAGGCTGAACCAAAATCCGAAAGTTTGAGCAGAATCTTGTTTTCATTAACCAGAATGTTGTCTGGTTTGATATCCGCGTGCAGAATACCACATTTGCGCATCAACTTTAGAGCCAATAGTATCTGTTGTGTGTATGAACGAACTGCTGCAATATGAAGCCCGATATTCCGCCCGTACTTTTTGAGCACTTCGCGTAGGTTCATGCTCATCAACTCGAAGACCATACACAAGTGGTTTTTGTGAAAGAAATGTCGATACAATCGGAGACAATGGTACCGATCGTGAGGATCGGCGTCGTTGAGCTTTTTCAGCACCTCTAACTCCTTTAAACCTGACTTGTGCCTAGAAAAATGATACACAAAGTCGAAGTGGAAAGGTGTGGGGAGATTAGATGAGTGATAAGCAAGGTGGTGCATCGAGCTGAAAGGAATCAGTTGGCAGAAGAACAGACGGGCAGAAACTCCATTTGGTATCTATAGCGCAAGATGACAGACCATGCCGAATACAGACTGACTACTGCTGAAATAGGCAAAAAGCACCAATGTCCTCAAAATGTGAGCGACAAAAGTCCAGCTGTCTAACTCACGGTGATCTTTGGTTGGTGTTACTGAGAGTTCCCTACAAAACAACAGCACGCTTGCGAAGTGGTTTCTACGACCAGAGGGTATCCAACGGTCAGAGGTATTTTTTGTTGCCGATATCTTCGACAAGTAATCGAAGCCGGCGAACTTCAGAACGGGTCTAATGACGAGATCGAATGCATTGTCGTGACATATCACACTTATATTAGCTTCTTCAACGATATATACAGTAGTCTGAGATGTCTAAACAGACCTTGGACCCCTCCGCCACGCTAAGAATGGCATTGTCGCTTTGAAAGATAACCAAACAACACTTGGATAGATAAATTCAAGGGCGTCATGGGGCAACTTAGTCTCCGTGTGGTCTCATGAGTTTGTCACTAGAACCAGCAGTGGGTTGGGATCGATCCAAAAAGGACAACTGACCACTGTTGTGAATAATTTCTGCCCCAAGAGAAGGTTGATCTGAAGTAGGCTTGTACTGGGGATCAGCAACTGCGCTGGGTTAGACGCAGGTTACTGGCGCCCGGTGTCAGTTAGATACATGGAAGCAGCCGATAGACTGAGGGGTGGCGCTCGCAACGATGCTAGCAACAGTACAAACTGCAGCACACACAAACCTCCAGGCAGGCCCCGGCATCCGCTTTTCCCATTCAGTACGGGGTATTCAGATGTCTAGCAAAATAATCAATCGTGGGAGGCCACCCGAAAATGGTAGATGTGGGCAACGAACCGATGCGCTAAGCCCCGGGGCCCATTGGCCGCACTGTGATCTTAGCTGCAAGACCTTTGCGTGTCTACTTCCATATTTTCGCAGCTCACCGAATTTCATTGTCCACTGAAGCAATCATAATTCCGGCGGAAAAAGTCTGGTGGAATACTTCCCTAGCGTTGTTGAGACCCCGGGATGCCTAGATAGGGCTCAAAAGTTCGGGCTTGTACTCATAACTCAATTAGTCTTTTGGTCCATCAGAGACACGTCGTAGCTTTCGAAAATTCAATTCCATTGTGCGAATACTGAGCACCGCCATACACACGGAAGGAACCAAGTTTGAAATGGTGCCAATTTGTCAAAGCCTTGAACAGGAGCAATCAATAGTCAGGAATGGGCTTAGATCACGAAACTCTTGATGAGTAGCTCAAAGCTTAATAAGCTCAACGCTATTTGGATTTCAAACGCACGAATGTGAGCAGGCACTGGGCATTACATTTGACAGTAGAAGTATAAATAGGCAATTGCTGTATGCCTATAAAAAGGTTCAACAAGCGGAAATACGTTTGCTTGGAGATGGGGCATTAAATTGCCGATGTAAATAGCTTTGTGGAAAATAGCCCCACGAAGTACAGAAAAAAAGTAAACCATACTATGTACAACTTACATAACTTCATTGTTCCGGATAATTTTTATGGCCACCTCAAGATTACCACGGGCACTATCACGAGCCCGAACAACGTTGGAGAACACTCCGAACCCGGTGTATCCATACACAGCGTAGCGTTTGTCCAAGACCTCTCCGATGCGAACACCTAAGACAAACGAGACGAATTTCAGAATTTTAGTCAATACATGTCATAAGAACAGAAAAAATATAGGATTGGTTTCAATGCAGTGGGATATTGTCACTAGTTATTAGTCAGATAGATGTCCATGTGCTCTCCGTGAAACGCAACGGCACAAAACTAACATCGGCGGTGGTTCTTAGTGCGCCGATTTGGTTGCAAAGATATTCCTTTATGGACACCATGTGTTGGTAGATCTTAAGCGAGGAAACATGCTCGCCACAGATAAACAGCAATGCCTCAAGGTCGGTCGAAAAAGTCGAGCACATCTGCCGGCCGTCCAGTATATATTATCAAGGGAAATAGTCGAGGACATCAAAAGTCAGGTAGTACCGAGACCTAGACGGACACGTACAAGAAGAGAGAGGAGGTAGTCACTTTGTGGACCTTTGTCGCTAACTTTAACGTTATATGCAGCTTAACCAAATACACTTGTAGCTTTTTCATCCCCAGGTATGATTCATCAGATGTTTCTAAAAAAAAACTCAACCTGTGTGAAGATGATACCCGCCTTGATAAACGCAACCCGTCGCATCCTGGAAAATTTGATAAGAACACGTACTTCAGAGTAAGTGTATCAAGTTCACCTGTGGTCAGCAGCAATAACTTTTCCTAAGAAAAGCTGTCGCACCCAGCTCCTTCGGCATCAATCGTCAAGATGTTAAAAGAAGGGACTTGTACCGGAAGAGTGAATTTTAGGCAGCAAGACAACGTAGTCTGAGAGCATAGATAGCTTACGCTGAGTACACATGCCAGAAACGTATTGTTCATTAGTTATTGACTTACAGTTGCCCTATTTGGGAGAATAACCGTCAGTAAAGATGATTTCTGGTCGACTCATTCGGCGAGTTCCTCTAGGGGAACACCAATCCTTTAAGAACAGACCACAGACAGAAAATAAGGTGTGAGGGAGCGGATTTAATTGAAGGTGATCTCCTTCCACATCCTGGTAAACATTAATGCTGTCGTCAACGTTCCTCCTGCAGGTTACACTGGGAACCCAACAAGAAAAGGATAATATGAGGGACCATAATTCGGGGATCCCTGAAGATGGGTGCGACTTCAGACTCAACAGGTGATCATATATTTCCGGTAGGTTTAAATCCCAACAAATCCCAACATGCAAACATTCAACTCGGAATGTTAATGAAGAAGCATATTTTGGAAAGTGGACGAATTTCGGAAAATAGGTGATCATTAGCGGTCTGACCGGGACCATTAAGCGTGCCTAAACACCTAAATCTTGAGGTCATCAACCATGATAACGAGCTACATCGGTAGGATCGTTCTGGCACTGATTCAGCTGTTCATGCCATAACAAAGGCTGAGGAAAAAAGGAAACGGTGGAACAAAGCGGCTATCCACACAGACAACCACACGATCACAAGTATGCGTTTCCTTATTTATGTCCTTGTATCTGATTTTCAATGACGTGATGCAAAAGCACACAATTATCGATTGATGTCTTGTACGGTCTCTAAAAATTGAGTGGATGAGATGAAGAACGATGCTAAGCCCATAAACAAGGAACGAAAGCAAAACGTGTACACGAGTACACAATGAACTACTCAACCAGTGAGTATATGACCAAGTCTTAACGGAAGAGGCTCACGTTAAAGTTAGATCTGTCGAACGATACCACAGGAGAACAGTCCCTTTAAAGAGGAATCCCAACTCCGGGTGAAGTAACCATACAATCATCCAAATACATTGGGTGATCGTGGGGACGATAAGCACCGACAGGCTGTCGATCCTTTGCGATTGTAAACCATCAGCATCTGCAGGCAGATACCTTAGCAATGGGTTGTAAGCACTGTTTCATAGACCAAGTGGTAGGATTGCCACGTATCGTTGATACCGCCTGATTGACCGTGGGACAGTTACCAGGACGAAGCAACCGCAAAAAAGCAACAAGTACCTTTGATGAAACGACATTTCAAGACGAAGATCGGTACCCTATTTGGAGGCGTCCGGAGGAGAAATCTGCGATGTTAACGACTGAGCAACCCGTGACGCTGTGGCTACCCTCGTCTTTAGGTTAGGGTTCAAAATCGTCTCGGTACCCTCCCGTCACTTCTGAATTCCCGATTTCTAGTAGCATGTTTGCCCCCACTTCACATATAACACGACCGTGATTGGTAGGAGAGGGTGAAATGACAAAAGCCTACAGAACTTGCCTCCATCCCATATTGCGATTCGATACATGATGTGAACACGCCAGATCAGTGAACTATAAGCTACACTCACATTAGACAATCTAGATTGAAAAAATTGAATGAAAGTGGTCAAGTGGCTAAAGCAGAATCGCCCACGAACCATTATTCTATATAAGGCTCTGGTGCTAACGTACACTGCCGATCACCTGTCGGACTAAACGACATTGTTCAAGGTCCCGATTGTGATGTCATGTCATACCGATGGTTGTGTCATCAGCACAATGAGTACTGACTCGTAGGTGAACTAATCTATAGTTCTCGATCGCTAAAACAAAATAGGCCGCAGCTGAAACTCCCTGAGGAGGGCAACGAACACTATTCGTAAGAACACGAGGCGAAGTCATCACCAACAAAATCAGCTGCACGTGAACTAATCTATAGTTCTTGGTCGTCAAAACAAAGTAGGCAGGAGCTGAAACTACCTGAGGAGGGCAACGAACAGTATTCGTAAGAACACGAAGCGAAGTCATCACCAACAAAATCAGCTGCAATATTTGTTACCATTTGCTCGGATGAGGACCGCGAGACAGGGCACATCAACAGTTAGGTATTCGCTAAACATGGTCCATTCGCATGCTGAATGATGCGTTTGCATCCAAGCCACCTCCTTCAATGTGTAGGTCCCCCTCTCAATCTCTCCACTGCTTCCTCGTAAACAATTTTTGCTACTGCATTCAGTTGGCAGAGTATGCTTTCTAGGTTGGTGTCCTTGTGACCCTCCTGCGTTTGGCTAGAGACATTACAAGAAATGGCAGCTGATCGATGTCAGTGGCGTTCGTGTTGTCAGTTTATCTCCAGATTGTCTGAATGAGCGCCCGAATAGGATAGGATAGCGCTTGCGATGGGAGAGCACCAGGTCCTTTCTCTCACCCACTCTTCCCTCCTCCTTTCATTTTAAGGAATTAAATATAATTAGATGAACTTTATGGTTGTACGACAGTGATGCATCAGTGTCAACACTGAGGTAGCTATCTTTGATGATGATGATGATGATGATGATGACTGTTTTCAGTCCGTAGCTATCCAGTTCTATTTCTCAGATTATCAAAAAACGAAGTTGCATCAGCTAAAACCACATGTAAACGGTGTACAGTTGATGGTCATGATGATGATGGGGCGAAAATTTCGCAGCGTACTTTAATCGGTCGATCTGGATGAGCCGATGACAGCCCTGAAAGGATGGACCGAACCAAAATACATCTGCGACAGTTGAGCTTTTCCGCCCATTTGGAGCAAGCGGTTTCCTCTAAATGTTCGCCCACTGGGGAGGGTTATTAAAAATGCACGCCAGGACTTTATGTTATTAAAATGCACGTCAGGAACTTTATAGCATTTGATCCATATTTATTCTCGATGACCTCGTATTCTACTCTGCATGGTGCGTCAAACTTGTGAACTTGTCCAAGTGCTGACATTAGACAACGGATTGTATTGTTACAGATATCGATTGTCACATTTATTCTCGATGACCTCGTAGTCCACTCTGCATGGTGCGTCACAAACTTGTGAACTTGTCCACGTGCTGACATTAGACAACTGATTGTATTGTTACAGATATCGATTGTCACATTAACTTACACAGTATCAGTTCCGATGCACTGTAAGTAGGGGAGCGCTGGAAAGTATATTACTGAGTTTACTGGACGTCAAATCAAAAGTAAGGTCCGTTATATAAAGGGATAACAGCTTAATAAGTATAACAAACATGACTTCCCATTGGTCCAAAGAATATGCTTCAGCATATCCAATGATCTGGTCATTGGTTGAGAATGCATAACAAGCAGCGGGGCTCCGGAAATGTGCGCTATGCTGTAGACGCTCTAGGTGATTCGAATCAATATACTATCCACCGTGAAACGAACTTCCAAATGGATTCCCGGATTTCATTCAGTAAAGCGAAATCAACCCATTCTGAAGAGCCAAAAAGCATCGTCCCTGTATGGAGTCAGCGGAAGTGAGCGTTTCATGAATATCCATGGGATTCAAAACATATGCCTTTCCCTCTTATGCATATGACCGTAATGACGGATGGGAGGGTTACAGAAGACAAGGATATCAATCTTGAAGGCTCAGGCTGATCGCATACGGTCTACGAAACCTGTCAGTGACACCAGCTGACAACCTGCATTGGCGGCACAGTTGTAAGTGGGCTAAGGCGACAAATTACTGAACGGAAGGTCCGCGGTTCGAACCCCACTTCTGAATCTCGACTGTTCCTATCTAGGCTTGGACAACCTGACAGTATCTCGGCCCTTCTACCTACTTAGGGTGGCATGGCAGCCGGATACTGAGTGTTACAAATGAATGATGCAGTATTTTCAGAGTATTAGAGCTGAAAGATACGATACTTATAGAGTATCCAAGCCTAAACAGAAATGGCCCTCCAAACGAAGCCCCTGGCTCGAAAGTCTGACCGCAAGATAGCGGTACACTACTGCCCGGTTTTACGGCACCAGTAGACTTTATGGTAGAGAATGGTGTTTCGAGTAGTGCTCACAAGTGGCGTGTTTTCATCAAAAAATCAGTCGATCGGCAGGCCTTCGACCTCAGGGAACGGGCAAAACATGATTTCGTCGAGGTTGCGATATTTATGAAGGAATTTGCCGCAGTAACGAGAGGAATGCCTAAACCAGCCTTCAATGATAAGATCAACAAACAACCAGGTGAATGCACAACTGGGTCTCCCTTGAAAACGAGATCCGGTAGACTATACAGCATTGTGAAAAAGCGTGAATGAATTCTCACAACACTGATAGCAAAATACACAGAGTACTTGGCAGGTATCAATAAGTTCTTCAGTCTAAGCTGTACTCAGTTGTAAACGACACTGTGAGGTCCAGTCAGAATTTGGCACAAACGGCCAAACGACTATTTTTCGCTGCATTTAAAGTACTGTGCGCTCACCTGAAAGAAGTTCATCATGGGAGCTTATCGTATGAGAGGTTTGACTGGGTGGATATGACTAGGTGTAACTCAACCCAAGACATAGCAGACATGGATACACAATCTCATCAAAGTGACCTGTCGACAGCACTATCGATCGTCCGCTGATTGTAAAACTGGTAGTGCACATTATTATGGCTGGTTTCTGGCAACCAATCCGCGTGAGTAGGTGGCACGTGCATTGAAAAACAGTGAACCTGTGTAGTTCACTTCCGAGATCAATAGTGATGCATTTCGCAAAGGCACACGTTTTGTGTGATCACGGCTTGATACAATCTGAGAAAACACGTCGCTCTATCAATCCACAACTACTAAGAGTTAGCACCAACCGGAAATTTTGACGAGCGTAAGAGTGGTTGAGAATTTCTGTCCCACCAACACAAGAGCATCCACCGATGAACTCCAGAAAACTTTGAAGAACTCCAACCTGAGTCTAACATGGGGGTCGCATCGTTAAGATACCGAAAAAGGCCGTCACTATATTATTGGCCCATTTTCAAATTCCAATTGTGGTTCTAAATAGCTGTTTGAATGTGACAACGGCTACAATATGGAAAGTTGCTCCAACAGCCGGGCAACTGAGGCCGTCTAATCTTCGATCAAATACAGCGAAGAGCATATGAAACAAATCACAAAATTGGGCGGACGGAAATCTCTGTTGATGGTGTTATCCAGCGATTGTACGAGGGCTATCCATGCACCCTGGGACAAAAGTCAGCTGTACCGAGGAGGTAGCACTGAACTTCAGTACCCGAACTCCATGGCGAATACAGGCTGTTTCGAAAATCAAGTTATCTTGTCATGGTCGTTACGGTCGTCAAAAATATTAAATCCGGTAGGTGGGAATGACTTTTCAGGCAAGGACAGACAAAAACTTACGATAGTATCCCTCAGCATCATCCCAGTTGTCGACCAGAGAATGATTTTCCGACGCCATTGCACCAGGTGCCATGGTACCAGGTGCATCATGCACACCAACCTCGACTTCGTCAGCGAACATATCGAACTTAGTAGCCTTTGGTGCAGTAGGTGGTTGCGCCAAGTCTGAATTCAAACAAATTCGCTTCCGTTCGTTGAGCAGTGCACGGGCCGCAGGTGCTTCCACTCCGGACAACCGTCCACTGGGCGAATCGGTATTATCGCCTTCTGATAACAAGAAATAATGAGAAAAACAATAGGACATTGATATTAGGCTTAGTTTGAACCCACGACCCATTGAACACTCCAAACATGCTACGCAGACAAACACGAGTAATCTCATCGTCAGTCTAAAACAGTTTGAGCTCTAACCGGCTTTCGAACCAAGACGATCCATTTCGGTGCCAAGTAACCTGGGCTGCTAGACTGCCTAAGACCAGATAAGAGCAATAAGAAGTAAAGGAGCGGATGGAATTCACGGAGCTGCTGACCTCAACGCTGAAGTTACTGAACGCAGGTTTCAGAGCAAGGTGACCTGATCAAGGCGATGAAAATGAGTTCCGCCTGAAGCAGTGAACCAAAAGACAACCAGGAAGCTACCAGTGTGCAAGGGAATGGGAAACCATAACCGAAATGAGGAAATTAGGAATACACTCTTTTACCGTTGCAGGCATCACAAAGAGACTGTGTGTGCAACCGGATTCACTGATTAACACCGAGGTTATACGCGATAGTACATCTGGAGGTCACACGACCAAACGCACCAGCGGTAAGTGACAAAGCACCAGGATTTGTCAACAAAGAAAACGGCCAACAAAAGTATCACTTTCGAAGTCCTTTATCCAATAGAATAAATCTGGTTATTTAAAATTTCGTGTTCATCTACATCGAAGTACGTAGACTCCATAGGATGTCTCGGTGGGGTGTACACAAGTCGAAAATGCAGCACGAGGACTACCAAGATTTTCCCGTTCGACGTCATCTACTTATCTCTATACTAGCAGTAGGTCAGTTATCAGCTGGAGTGTAAATCTGGTACCATCAAGAAAACCAGTCGCTTTGTGTATAAGAGAAACCTCATAGGAACCGGGAAACTGGCAGTGTCTGTCGTCGTTAAAGAGTTGCAATGAATTTCTGATATGGTGGACAGTGCTCATGCTTGACTGACAACGTACTGTCTAAAAACATATTGACCGAATCCAACAGGTGTAGCGCTAGAACGTAGTGAGGCCATTCTCCAAATCAAACTACCGAGGCGGAATAGTTGACACCTACCCGTAAAACACGATAGCTCTTCGGTTTTCTAGCATTGATCAACAAGTAGCTGAAAATCCAATATGAATGGGTATGGATTAAAGGCGGAGAAGCGAGAGATGGCTAGTGGTGATAATGTGCATGTTTAAGGACGGCTGAGGGCTGGTCGAAAACACTCACCTACGGTCGCGGCAGCCGAATGAAGAAGTTTGTCCTTCATGGCTTGTTCGAAATCAAACAACTCGGCGTCATTGTCAACCACCATCTCTGTCAAGCTCTCAGTATGTGGAATAGCGCTAGGCATGGGTGGGGTAGTCTGGCGTGCGGGAGACGATGGGCTCGCACTCTGCCCTGTTCTAGAGAGTTGCTAAGTGGGGAAAATTAGGTTACTGCGACGGAGTGAAATAACCTACTCACCTCCAAAAGACGCTGTCGCTCAAGACGACGTTTTTCGATTATTGATTCTTCATCTTCGTTTTCCTCAATCTTCACAGATAGCTCCCTGAAAAAGCTCGAAAACAAATTGTAACCAGTTCTTACTCAGAATCTGAACCAGATTTCTCGAAGTCTCCGGAGCGCTCACGTGACCTGTGATGTTTCTTCTTTTCCGAACGGCTACGTCTGTCCGATATTCTAGGTTCGTCACGTTCAGCACTCCTATCTTTTCGGAACTCTCGATACTGATTGTGCGCAGAAAGGTCCGAATGCATTCTAGATTCCCCATAATCTCGGTGCCTCCTGTGCTTATGCTTTGATTCACTGTGTCGGTGAGAGCGACTGCTGTGTTCGGTGAAAGAGGATTTTCTGGATTCCGAGTAGTCTACATATCGCTCATCTTCTCGGGGATTAGCATGATAATGACGGCGGTGCTTTTTGTGCTTGCTCGCATGTCCCGTATTCATTGCCACGACTAGGTCTCTGGAGAGAAAAGAGATGTTAAGTAATTCGGCGAAGAGGACAACGGAGAAATGACGGAAAGGATCACATATCTAACGACAGAAACCATCTCAACTCGGAATGCTTAGTGCCAAAATCGAAACTCCATATGCGAGGGCTATAAGAAGTTTGGAAAAATGGTTCTTAGGACAGTTACGGGGCTAGCAACAGACTAAAGCACAGGTTAACAAAGGTTGACAGTCAGGATTTTTGGACTTTTATAGTGATTCAACGAACCCTAAAACGGTCAGACCAGCGTCAAAAACTGAAGCATATAAGTTTTCCCGTCTGCTGGGTTAGTATGACTTAGTTGGGTTGATAACTGGTGAAAAAATAAAACCTTGGGAGTGGTTTTTTATAACCCAATGCTTCAACCACTGTAGGTGGCCTTCCCCAGAAGCTGAGAAGCTGTCTCATCCCTACTGGATGTTTCGAACCCAAAAACCCTCAAACAGATCAAAGAGACTTCCATGCAGCTATGGGCAACTTATCGGTAATGTGATTAAGTTGCCCTCAGGAAGGATATAGCGTCACTCGTGATTTGAGCATAATTATATCAAGCGAGCCAGTTTTGACTTGCCCTTCGACGGGCAATCCCCATCGGAAGATCTACATACAGTGGGATTTTTTCGATCAAATCAGCTAAACTTTGTAAGCAGTAGATATGACTTTGAATAACCAGGAAACGTAAGTTAAACAACTAAGGAAGAACAGTGCGCGATATTATCACACTGACTACATTATGCACGAGAGTGATAAATGAATACTAAGTAACCGATAGTGACGAATAGGTAAACGGCAGAAATAAGTGGTCACCCGTTAATTCGTACACAACGCATAATAAATAAAACCGACATGCACTCCAATTTTTAAAAACTACTGCAAACCGAGCTCGAAAAGTGGCCAGCTACAGGAGAGTGGCTTTCAGGATGAGTATTGACCATCAAGATAGTTCAGTGCTGAGGAGCCAACTTACTAACCAGAAGGTTCGTGGTTCGAACCCAATCTCTGCATCTTGACTACTCCTGTCTAGGCTTGAGCGACCCAGCAGTATTGGGTAAGCGGAACTGGTTCAGTGTGGAGGGAGATAAGGAATAAACTACAGCTTCCGCTGCGTTGGTAAAGGTTGGCCAGGATGGAAGTTGGCAAATGTCTTCAGAAGTTCTTCAAACACGTGCGCAAGGAGCTACGAACAGAATAGACGCACAGTAGTTCTCTCTCAAATATTATATCCGTACATGACGAGACCGTTTCGTCCGTCCAATTAGAATTCCGATGGATCAGTTGTTAACTCAGCAAGAGAAAATGTCCAGTTCGTAAAGGAGAAGTCTTTCGGTTCGCCGCTCCAGGCATTCAGCACTGTTGTTCAAAAGCCTACCCAAAAAACGACCGAATTCTTCATTCTTGGAATACGTCTTAATTTAGGACCGAATTCAATCACAATATTCTTCTTCTCGAAAAAACGTCAAACAACAGCAACTGCTGACTACGAAGTCCCAGTCAGACAAGTAACATTGCTCGAAACTCCGAGTTTGGGCCACCTTCAGATGTAAACAATGACCATTGGTGAACCACGCATAAACTGCTTGAGTTGGACGCCCAATCATACGCGCTTCACTTTCGGGTTTATGAAAGTGCCATAGCCTTAAATGGCCGATTAACGATACCGGGAAACTTTTCCGATTTTAGAAGAGAACTACCAAGTGGTCACACAAATTCCTCCTAGAATGGTATCAGCAGTGACCGGTATTTAGACCTAATGCATCATACGCTGGTGGGCTTTGTTAAAACACCATCATATCAGACGATGTAAAATACCGAAAACGATTATCTTGACTAAGAGACAATACTCCACAAGGACTTCCGCGTTTACGAGAATCACATAGCTGAATGCATGCTTTGTGCACCCTAACCTACGCATTCGTCCCCCTTACCGACACGGGTGATATTTTGATTAGAAAAACGGAACGTACATCGTCGGGTAAACTCGCGAGAACCGCTGAAAAATTAAGCATCCTTTCTTCGTATTTCAGGCGCAACAAGTCACTGAATCTCCTCAAATGGAGCTTATACGGAGTTAGATACCTTAGGAAGCCAGGCGCGACCGTCGACAGCAAATGCTGAACCATTACTGTATTATATCAATCTTCAGTACCATCCTTCGATACAAGTGGTTGAGGCACCAACTTACTAACCGGAAGATCCGTGTTTCGAACCCAACCTCTGCATCTCGACTGCTTTTGTCTACGTTTGGGCAAACTGGAAGCATCTCAGACCTCGAGCCCTCCTTCAGGTGACATGGCAGCTAGACACCGAAAATGTGTCACAGATGCATGCTTGTCGCTTGCTGTACCGTCCTTCAGTAGCCACACCCTAGGCCAGGTCGTTCGTCCAGATCTAACACTCCACCCACCGCTACCTTGTTAACAGAGCATGGGAAGGTACCTGGCATGTAGGTACCAAAGCGATTCTAAACCACATAAGAAACAGACACATCAGCAAATAGCGGTACAAACTGCAACTGCATTTGTTGCCTGCTCCGTATAGGCAAAAACTCCACATATATAAGTTCCTTATTTGATACGAGCGTCAAAGTTAGTGGTAAACTACTTCGGTTCCGATAAGCACTGCCTTAAACTAACCGACTACATCCCACTCGTGAGAACAACAAAGGAATCGACACAAGCTACTTACGCTTGACGACGGCTCACGTCATCGACTCCCTTAAATGTTCACCACCGCAGACTTACAACGGCACAGTACTGGAGCTGATCATCCCTCGTTTTGTTGGTCTCAGTTCCCGAAGACTTAGTGCAAGCGCATTCCAACCCCACAAATAGTAACATGGATTGACTCATCATCATTATCGCCATCTACAGCATGACATCAGTGTTCAACACCGATGTTTCACTGCCGTACAACCATGACAGAAAGATGGAGAGGTGGATTAGTTACCTCTCTCTCAAGTCTCAGCCATTTTACACCCATCCATTCTTAGAACCGTTCTTAAGAATGGCAGCAATCATCGTGCTATCAAGGGTTCAGCTGTGTCGACGCAACCATGGAGGCCGTCACTGGGAAGATAAGTTAATAAACAGGAGTTCCCGCATGTGTTATATTTAGGTATCACTATTCCTCTAAACAGCTCCCGATAGTCTCCTCTTCGTATAGTCCTAGATAAAACTTCAGGCAATCAGAATATCATCCTGCCCTAAGTGCTATAACGGGTCTTAACTAAGCCACATTTATACAACTTTCCTTCGGGATTGTCTCTTAAAACGACCCATCAAATGATTGAGTTAGTTCTGGATTATCAGATCCAGCTCAGTAGTGTCAACCGTGCAGAAAAGGTACAACACTGGTTTCAGCTGCTGCGGTCACGTTCATCGAAAATTAGGTATATGACGCGATAATAATCACAAATGGAACGAGATCACTCAGCAAGTCAATTGACATCAAGTGGTCACGTTTCGCTCATAAAATGTAAATTAGAACAGCTTCGCGTTCTAGACGAGAGCCATGAGTGCGCACGACTGGTTACTGGCAATGATTATCAGCGCTACTAACCAGTGGTGCGTTCAACATTTAATCATGGACGTACGATCCAATGTATAAGTATTATAAAAAGTAAAAGTGTACTTTGCCAGGCAACTGAAACATACCTGAGGTCACTCATTGATCCAGATTTTACCGGTAATAAAGGAGTTGCAGGTCTACAATGTAAAAATTTACTACGAAACATTGGGTATAAAAAGCAGTTTCAAAAGCGGCTCGTCGGAGTCGTCAAAACTCAGTGCATGACTCTTTGGTAGGTGTGGAAAACATGAACGGTGAAATTCGAAACAAAAAATGACAGACGAGAATAAACGTGATAAGGGAGTTAAGAATGGATTGGCAGAGAAGTTGAAAGCTTGGTGGTAATCGGTGGATGAAATGCTAACAGCATATACCTTGAATTGGTGGTTAGGTTTGGGTGTTGGAAGAATTGCACGGGCTATAGTGGACAGAAATTCGTTCCCCAAGGTTCATCCAGGTGAGGAAGTCCAGGAGGCAACCAAAGAACAGTAAGCTCCTGCACGGCGAATATCGAAATACGAAACAGTCCTCTGCGACAGGAGTGTGAGGGTAGTACATTTCCTCTAGACAGTCAACATTTCCATATTTATGGAGGCAGTGAAGCTGTCTTATCCCGAGGAAGGACTGATTGGAAAAGGTTGGCCCTAAAAGCCACATACTCCGACCACCCGGAAATTGAATGTGACCTCTGGCACGCTACTCAATACAAACTACTTTTAAAACCAGTGTGTTTGGTGCACGGAAGGCACCTGGAGTGATATAGTTAAGTCTTACTGCATCCTCACGTTAGTCGAGCCTCCCACACCTAAGTGGGTTGGACCATTGAATCATTAGCCCCGGGAAGGTTTCGACAAGGAATACTTATCACCCGTTGCGTGGAAGATCAGACCGTTGAGATGCAAACTAGCGGTATGAGGCCAAAACAAAACCCTGCCTTCTCCCACCGCCTTCTGGGTAGAAATTCTAAGTCAAGGGCCCCAGCTGATGCACCTGGTGTACCTCCACCAAGTCCATTTATCCAACCTGGGCAACCTGCGAAAGGAGCACAGCTAGTTTTCTTGATTTATCAGCCCCAACTCTAATTACTGCCTATCCCAACACAATCCCGCATGTTTTCGGCTCTATAAATTCAGTATCGATTTCTAGACCTCTGTCCAGAGAAACCTAATCATGCACCACTAATCCCAAAAAATCGCTCAAGGTAGCACCATTTGATATCCGCACTCTATATCAGACAGATCAACGGAACCCGTCAGCTCCTATTCTTTCCCGTTAAGAATCTAGCTGTGCTGTTTTCGAAACACATACAAGATCCTAATATGGAAAATCACCTGAACACGATCCAAAGCATTTCCGACTACTTGTGATTTATCCCAGTTCAGTTTATCAGCTATAAACCGTGTAAAACA